ATAAAGAAACGCTGACGTGGCCCTACTGGAGCGGGAGGAAGATCGTTTGTCTAGACTAGTTATAAATGATGACCATCACCTTCGTACTCGCTTAATTCAAGCCTTGCTTGGTTCAAATAAACACCTCTCTCTTGCCTTCTTCTTCTTCCTTCGTTGGTTGTGGCTGTTGCTCTTGCGTGTTACAAATACAGGTTCGTACTCCTTCTCAAGTGCCTTTTGATTCAGATTGTGGATGTCGAGTAATCACAACATTAGGACACAATAATAAACACGAAGAAGTACTAGGATGTACGTGTACGCTAGTTTGGTCAAATAGAGCACCACAACGGGTTCTCCTCCTTGCTGGCATTACTGTGTCTGTCATGGACACGGATCTGCTCAACCAACATGATCTATTCGTAGTTGTCCGCCGACAACGAATGACAGACGGTAGCACTAGACTACCTAATCTAGTCTAGTTTACGAACTTGCTATTTTTCCAGCCAGTCCCAGGCCCAGGTAAAGAAACTTCCTTGCAGGAGAAAAATATGAAAAACAAACTTATTCTTCACCTGAATCAAGGAGACAAGTTGACAGCAGACTAGTGAAAGCCTTCGGGAAGCCAGTCAGCCAGCCGATATGTCTTCTCTTAACGAAAACAAACATAAGAGTGGGGACGGTAATGCTCACACAATGTACGACACTGGGAAGACTGCCCAGGTAACCAAAGACATGCGAAGAAATGGCTTAGAAGTACTGGGTATCTGCGAAAGCAGACTGAATGGATCTGGATTGACAACATTGTCAACGCGAGGGGCAGTAATCTACTCTGGTCACCCAAACGACAACGACCATAACACTGAGGCACTGGATGGCTATCATGATGTCACCAGTGGCAGCGAGAACCTCACTGGAGTGGGAATTGATAGAGAACAGAAGCGAAAACTGAGGTCAATGTGCGTCTCACTGAATGTACAAGTGAAGAAGAGTAGCGGTAAAAACAAAACGCAATTCTACAACACCTTGTCAATTGAAGCATAACAGTTAGGCCCCTGGTAAAAGAGACCTCAGGACATCATATCAGAGAATCAGGTCTCAATCCGGGAAGGGTTGGCGCAAGTGAACCCAACAAAGATCAAGGAAGCCCAATTACCAAAGAGGAGAAACAAATAAACAATGTGATGATGGCTTCGAAGGACTCTTGGAGAGACCAGCGCCCTCATCTCCTTCAGAAATACCACTACTTATAGCATTCGTAAATTTGCCAGTGAATACCTCCAACAAGAGCACAGATTTTGAATACAGCTAATCCACTGTGAGTCACTCGGGAAGGTGGCGGGACTAGGGTAACTCCTCCTGAAGCTCTGAGAATGCACGAAGAGGCAGCAATAGATACCCTAACACCGCTAATGCAAAAGGCTTGGGGAGAAAAAAGGCACCTGCTGATTAGAATAAAGATTATCTTGTGAAACTAACAAGGAAGGGCGACTTAGGACTATGCATGTACTAGTGCAGAATCATTTTTGTAAGCACCAAGTAGATTACCAAGTCACGCCATCCTGAAAATATCAAACAATGCACTAGATGTAGAACACCGCCCTCCGGAACAGGTTGGACTCATAAAAGGTAAATTCTACACTGATCGATTTACAACCCTACGCATCACCATCGATCAGTGCGTAGAAGGGCAATCAAACCTCTATCTCAATTTCATTGACTTCCGAAAAACCTCCAAAAGAGTTGATAGCGAAGTAGTTCGGGAAATGCCTCAATATTACGGTGTACCCTAAATCTTTGTCAACCCCATTCCTTAGCTATGTGACAACGGCACGTGCCAAGATACCCACAGTGGAAAACTCAGGGAAGCATTTGAAGTGAATACAAGAGTAAGACCAGACCACCTATTATCACGGATGATATTCCTAGTTACGGTGGAGTGGATTATGAGGCATACTGTGGGTGGGGCACGAAGAGAGGAATACCCTGGATTGATAAGAAGACTCTATAAAATCTGGGCTACGCACATTAATTATGTTAAATATCACACGAACTCGAAGACTTACATGCGAAAACCACCGAACTTTCTGAAGAAGCAAAGAAGATAGAACTTCAAGTGAACACAGAGAAGACAGAGGCGATGAATATAACCAACAACAAAGGCCGGTACCAGTCACAGTCAATCGTTGAAATTTTAAGAAGGTTACTGGCCTCACATTTCTACGAAACATCGTTTCAAATGCGGGTGAACCGGTTGAAGATGTCAAGCCAGAATAGGAAAGGAAAAAGAAAAAACTTCATCACTCAGAAATCAATCTGTAGAGGTTCTGAACTTAGCAGCATAACGGACAAGATTCGCCAATGATAAGTCAGCTCCTATATATGGGCCGGAAACCTTGACCGCGCGTCACAAAAGCGTTGCTAACAGGCCAGTTCAGAGTTTCATCAATGGCTGCCTTCACTGGCTCCATATGGAATACAGCCTTGCCAATGAGAAAGAATCGGTGACAATAATCTGTGGGAACGAATCAATCAAGAACCGACTGTTCAAAAAATATGCAGATGAAATAAAGACGGATGAGATACACACTGAGGGGTGAGGATAAACGTTATCGAGTTTTAAATTTACCGCGCTTCAGGTTTTCTCGTCTTTTATTGGCTAGAACAGTGGCAGTCAATTGGATTTTTGATTCGTCCGAGGTAGGTGCTATCGTGTGCGGCTTTGTGTGGTTGTGTTACGCATGGTTTTCAAGACACTGTGATGACTATAAATGTAAAATTTGACCATGCTGACGTCGTTTCACTCTTTTTTATACAGATACAATGCTCTTTTCGTCAGAAACTCCCTTGAAACTGTTTAGCCATTATGGTGGTTGTCAGTGACTATGATCCCGTCGGTCCCAACGCATTTATTCGGTTGTGGTTATATGTACAGTATTTTCTACTTCGATATTTCTCACTCACATAGTCTGGTACCCTGTATTTCTTACTAATTAACTGTAGCAATAATGTGCTTCGCTAACGAGCCCTTTTCCTAGAATTTCATCCCAGGTAATTGGTGCGAGCGGAAGCAGCACATATTTAAGAAGCTGCGGACGCATTAGAAGACTCTCAAAAGGCAACGAACTTATACACTGCTAACAGTGACAACCTTTTCCACATACCAGTATGTGGCTACGTTCACATGCAGAGGAAAAATCGGCGAATGAGCCATTGTATAGCAGTGAGACAACTTTGTGGAACTTTCATCTAGCCTGTATGTTTTGCTCTAATATTTTTGGCTCTCAGACCACTAACAAAGTAGTATCAAATGTGTTCTTGTAGTATGATTCTATGGTACAATTACTGGCAGTTAATATTATGTATGCGTAATAGTCATGATATTTTCTGCACCATTAATGTGCTCCACATTTCAAAAGAAGTGTAAACTATGATGACTGAATTTGTTGAATACCTAAGTCATTCATGTCAATCATGTAAATGCTTAATTTATGTAAGTGAATGCAATCTGTATCACTTTTAGGAATGTCGAGTCGTAATGAGGTCTGTCAGTTAGTTGGATCCAGTGGAAGCAGGTGTAGTCGCATTCGGACAAAGACATATAAAAAACTGGTTTTCAAACAGTTATCAATGTATTACTCGACTTACAAGTACAGTCTGCCATGCTGACGCAAATGGCGCAAATGGAAAGTTCTAGAATTGACCCCATTTGATGCAGTAAAACAATCTAACATTACCTTATCTAACTTTCGTATCAAAGATCAAATTTCTTTCCTATTATAAAACTACGATAAGACTGCTGACAAAAATGGAATAAATACATTATTGAATCAAAATAATACATCAATAAACTTTATCTCACGGATGCTGTTCACAACAAAGTTTTATAGGAGAATTGACTTCAAGCTTTATTTTTCCCAGATATTTGTATCACATTCATCTGAAGTCTGGGTTTTTTGTTAATGCGAAGACAATATTTCTATATCTCTTTATGTGTTACACAGACAGACTATTTTGCAGACTGTTCTGACTGACTCTAATGTTAGATTGAACAAACAAACTGTAATTTATATAATAACTTATCCATGCCTGTACAATTGGTATGTTCCTGCATAAACAGGAATAAATATATATATATAACAGTGACGAGTGTTTTACGATTTCTGACAAGATACACTAGCATAATCAGTTGTAAGAATTGATTCTACATACGACAGCAAGTGAAGGTAAGTTCGCTCATTCACTTATAACCTTGCAGATATTCTTTTTTCCAGTTCGTGATACCGGATAACTTCGGATGTGGGCAAACAGTTATGTTTACTTGAATTGCGAAGAATTTAAAGGTGACGCGATTTGGACACTGGGAAGTTTCCGTCAAATAATGGGAGATACCTCCCAAGCGAAGACTTTTATCTTTGACTGTGCACATCCCATACTTGTTAATAAACTCGTTTGCGTTGCAGCGAAATAAAATTTTCTATCTAATATTCTTGTGCTCTACTTGATATACTTGCAGTGGGAGTACTGCATGCCAGACCGGTACTCTCTAGGATATGAACTAGTTACTATACGTAGGTGTAATTCTGCAGGAACACTATCGATCGATATAAGTGGTGAATTATAAACGCGTTTGTCAAGCCTAAACATCTGCCCAAAGTTACGCGATTACGTCTCCTAGCCATGCATAAATCTGTAGGAGCCAATGACAAAAATACCTAACTTCAGTATTTGAAAAATTAGAATAGAACTTAGGCACTGCAGTGGAGTTCGATTTCGTATGAGGTTAAGTGTATTCAAAAGTAGTGCACAACTATTATTTCACTTAAAGCGTCATATCGATCCATATGATCACGGGTGTTAACGAAAGTGTAAGACGCAGTGTACACGAGGCGAACAATTCAATAGGTTGAGCTGTAGCAATCGCACTAAGACTCCGCTTAGGTTAAACTATGCCAACAGTTATTTTCTCAGGTCCCAATGATCAGTCAGGCCTCCATATCATCATGATGAAAAACTCAGCTTGTTCAGACGGACAAACTTACTGCATACTTCGCTTCGTTCCCTGGGAAGCGAGGATCTTCAATGTCAACTGGAGGAGGGGGTATGTCGTATGCTCGTCTCCATATTTTAACCTGCTCTTCTCCGTGTTTAGCTGCAGTTTCTGATTTATTCAATCCTTGAAGAGCACCATACATCCGCTCATTTAAACGCCAAGTCCTAGAATAAAGAAAGATAGAAAATATAATTTAGTAAGCAATGTTTAAATGCAATATGTGCAAACAGAACACAACTTGCTTGCTTATAAGAAAGTACAAGGTTAATGTTTTCTCAGAAATTACCAAGAGATTTAGCTAAGAACACAGAATACTGCTCAAATAGTTGCTACTGAGAACAATACCGTAAAGCAAAACAATATTACCAAAGTAAATGGTGCATCTGACAGTTCGTATAAACAACTGGGATAGATGGAAAAAAGCACACAGGAAACCGAGATGGAAAAATGATATATCCGAAAATTCAGACTTCTGTACAGGAACCTAATTTATTTGTTATTCTTGAAAATATTAGCGAGATGTACAGAAGACAGGGTTGCTTAAAAAGTGGAGAAATGGCAATTCACTGGAATCTTTTAGTAGGATAAGATGTGAGAATCACGTAACTCCCTAGTTATCAAGAACAAACATAAAATATGAATGTTGACTTCAAAAGTCATACTGCAATAGCGATTCCGGATAATCCTTCTCACAGATGTCCAAGAAAAACATTAGTTATTGAAGAACTATATAACATTATCTTTAACCGCTTATGGATGTACAGATATGTCAAGAACGAGTCTCTGTTTTGGACCATTTCAATTTACTCGATATAATATACCCTGTGACATTGTTACGCAGATATTTTAACACTCAGTTAGTTCTAGACTATAAATAAGCAATAATTATCATGTGTTTAAATCATTTCAACCCTGAAATGAAGATAATATGTAAGTTCTGTAAGGAAACTGCACAACTAAGATGCAATCGAATTTCCAGTTTAGAATAGTACAATATATTAGGAAAAAATCTATACACACTATGTTTTTTAACATACTTTGAGACGGGAATCCAATTCAGATCAAGTTCATCTAGAACAAAGTTCAACGTCTTAATTGCTCTTTTTAGAACACTTGTATAGGCAATATCAAAAGTAAATTGATTTTGACGGAGAAGCTGACCAGCTTGTTTAGCTTCATTTACACCTTGAACTGAAAGATCTGCATCATGCCAACCACAGAATCTATTCTCTTCATTGTAAACACTTTCACCATGACGAATAAACACAATTTTGTACGGAGCCATGTAATTTGATTTATCTGAAAGAAAAGTTTAAGCAGACAAATTAATTGATGTGCTAAAATGTGTGAGAAATTAAAAAAAACTTACTTGCACCACCTAAAATTACAGTTCGTGACAAATATAGTAAAAATAAATCACTCAGCATGCGACATTTTCCGGGGATACAAATCACTGATTAGCTGTGAGAAACCAGTGACTGATTCATACAGCAGTAGAAAACAGTCAAGGCAAATACGCTTTCAATGAGTGAGTTTTCAGCGTAACACGTCACACACAAGTGCAGCTGTTTAAGTTGCCACACTCCATACGGAACATACAAGCAGGGGGTGGAACGAAAGAAACTACAATGAACGAACTACACAGATACGAATGAAGTGGACATATGCTGCGACAAAAATATTCGACTCGTAAACTGAAGGTGTAAATAACAACCATCAGAGACGAAAACCTGATGCCTCATAAGAACATAGCAAACTACGGAAGTACATGCGTCATTTTAGCAGGCACAACCAGGTTATCTACTCATTCCTAAGTAGCTACAATCAGCAGCTATATACTTCATGGTCTGATGCCAAGTTCTGATGAAACCAATCTAATGTTGTGCCACCAGAAATCGATCGCGAAGGTGGTCGCAAGACATGAGTAATGTGCATCAGTCGTAATAGCCTCACAAACTCATCGATCGATTTGGACGTCCTTACCCAACATTTTATGCTTGCCTCAGTATTAATCACCAGAGTATAAGCCTTTGTAATAGCATAATGAAAAATACTACGCATCGACATTTGATATCAACTTGAATAATACAATCAAAATCGACATTACGAACCAGTGAGATGGTTAAACAAGAGCTGGAGGTAAATGTGCACAAAATCCACGTGTCACACCAGAGCAAATGAACAACACCCTTTAGTGACTGATAAATCAACCTAATGTGGCACTCCACACAAAATGCAGGACTTTGTCACCACACTTCGAGAAATCAAACGGAAAAGAAAAGCGATTGTGGAAATAATGACACGAATGAGAAACCTGACTGTGTGAAAAAACCTCAGTGATATTCAAAAATTCGACAGAGTCAACCGAACAACTTCTACAATGATGAACACACGCTAAAAGTGCTCAGATCTTTGCCAATATCTAGTCAGTTCTGAATTTAATTTTGGTCTTCCCGAAAACATTACTATTGTTAATTTAACTAAACTACCCGGGACAGGTCATTCATGTAATAGCCTAAGAGCCACACTAATCATGCAAGCCTGAAGTAAGAAGTGGGGACAAACCTGTAAACTCAAGAACTAAATCTAAGCGTTTGGGCAGACGAAATACATCCCTAGGAAAGAGCCATCTTCACTTAGGATCATTCTGTTTGCAAATCAATTCCCGACCCAATAGTTTAGGAATAACTATCACTTTCAAGTGACGGGTGACCTTACAAACAGCAAAGACACAAACAGCTACGTTGGCTGGGAGAAACGTTTCTAGAGGTCTTACCATGCTAGAAAGGTCGTCTAGATAGATATTTGACTAGAAGTGCTTTCATGCTACAAGTCGTTTGTACTGTTGGGAATCCGACGGTGAAATAATGCCACTGGAGGATAAGGTCATATTAACAGTAAGGCATTTCCTACAGACTACCAGCAAGCCAGCCATACTGCCTGCCCACTATGAAGAGAAAGGTTAGAAAATCCCCAGCAGTGAAAAGTCTGGACTCCCCCTGCTGCGATCGGTAGCCAACAATGTCTTATAACTGCAAGAAACAACTCATAACAGGACATGTCTGACTGTCCTAAACCACTTGTTCCTCGGACTTTGAAACACCAAATACTAATTCTCTTTATGTATCAGGTGTTCCTCAAAGAAGTAAAATTCTGCAGCGGACAGTTGAGAGGTGACTACCGCCTTAACACCCACACAATACAGTTTTCCTGATCACCGCTCACTGTCATCTCTAACGTCTTAACAAGATTGAATAAGAGCGTTGCTTTGTGACATTGGAAAACACCAGTGGTTGCCCCCATTCCAAACGGGATATCCTCATAGGCCCTTGCAACGCCGAAACTTCAGGCCCTGACTAAAATAATCTGACAAACTCTCCACCCTCGAAAAAGACACCCTAATAAGTATTTAGCACCTGTTACACTCACTGGGCTTAAGGTGGCACTCGACTCTACGAGGCGGGTGTCAGAGACGTTTATCGTTGACCAAGGCACTTTACTCTTACTACGAAAGTAGGATGCCACACCAAACATTCCTGTCAAAAAACATTGCGCTCTTCATACAAACTATGGTGGAAAGCCTCAGGTGATGTGGCGGTGTACATCAAAAGCATGCTAAAACCGAAATTCACTGTACCATAGAATTGCCAATATTCAACCAACAACACAACTTTCCCGAATTCGGAGACAAAAACTCGCCTTTACGGGGGAACAGAAAAGACCCAATCACTTATACAATTAGTAAAATCCCCGTCTCATACTCGTCATATTGCTTACTCATTTTGATGTGCTATCTAAATGGCACCCTTTGACGTTACTTGCATTCTCCTGGTTTCATCATTTTATTTAATCCACACATACAGTCAAAACATTTCTAACATAAACTGAACAAGGAACAAGTTCAACTTCAACTGTGCTAACACCAACGAGGCTTACACATGTTGACAGTCGCCCGAAGTACCAGAAAACCACTCACGTACACAAAGTCAACCAAATTAAATCCGCTTAATTATATCATCAACTGACTGACCTAAACAAGGAGTATTTCAATGTCCCAATTTACTATGCGTCCGAATTTTGTAGTACGCATGCAATATATAGAGGCATTAAATTTTCTCGATTCCTGCTTCTGTTGTACACAAAAGCGTTTTATGTGCAAATGAAATCAGAGTTCTTTCCATAATCCTGAGAGGCACCGAACGAATGAACGGACTTAGTTAGGACGACTGTTCTCTTTCATATTTTGTCCCACTTCATGTCTCATAGGGACAGCATCTATTCTAATAGAGTTAAATCTCCAGTGAATGATTTGTATTCCCAATGTTTCGGAAATTTCCCGCCAACTAATGCGATGTCTGTTAGCTTCGGGACAATTATCACATTCATCTAGTTAGCTGTGCACTCGTAATCATATACAATTATTTTTGGATATCTGTGTGCGTTCATTTTTCCAGACAAGGATAAAAGTCAGTTTACATCATCAGTAAATTTCAAGACGGCGGTAAATAATCAAATTGTAACTAAGATTAGTGAGTTAGACTGAAGCTGCGCAAAACATTCAGAAGAATCTATATATCAATGAGAGAGTATGGGGTCACATATCGAAATGTATTCCCTAGCAGTTGAACACAGTGAATTAAAGGTTATTTGAGAAAACGACACCACTAAATCTCAGAAAAAATGTGGGGAAATCTAGTAATTATGTAGCTGGTGAAGAGAGTGAACGAAATATTAGTTAAAACGATGTTAAAGAGTGTCGTGTACACGCAAAAAAAATTAATTATGTATAGCTTCGACCGTACAGATGAGTTAATGAACTCGCCGAAAAGAGACTCTTCGCTGACTTATCTGTTGTCATTTCCATGTATGGGCGGGTATTTATCGCGAATTTAAAGTTGGCAAGATTCTTTCTCGTTGAAGGAACTCAGTTGGATTCTGCACTGTTTCGATTTTGCAGACACTGGACCTAATAATGGCCTCACGGTCACGCCAAATTTCTGTCTGTGAAAATCACCACTGAGTGTGAAGTAGGCATTCCGTGAATATCTGTGCAGAAGTATTCTTAACCTGAAAGTCGACATTCCAATACTCAAGGTGTTGTTCTTCAAGCATCGCATGGGAAGAAAATCGTCTCTGCGATCGAGGCATTTGAAAACAGAAACTCCGCATAGGGTAGTACCATGCGTTTCTCACCCACTCTAACTTCTTTAATGCAGTCGACGAATTCAGCCATGTCGCTCGGACAGTACTACCTTGGGGTCGAATTTCAGCGTAGGTACATGCTCTAGTATTTCACCAATAGTCATATCAGTCACTTTAGGGCTGTTGGGTCTCTATACATCTATACATCCCACGAGAATTTTATTCTCATTCATGTGGATGCCTATCCACTTAGATTCTGAGAGTTTTGCTGATAGTTAGGTCAGTAAAAGCATTGAAGTTAGTGGACTTGGGGGTACATATTACACACCCGTCTCCTCTTTTGTGTACTCAGTCATTCTCGTAGATGTTGTGGTTATCAATTACCAATCTTGTGTGCGGCATATCGTTAGTTATCCAGGTTTCAATTACCAGGATTTGTGTTGGCGGTTCCATGTACACCAGGCTGCGAAGTGAAGCTATTTTGTTTTGGAGAGATCGAGCATTCAGGGAAGATAGTCGGTAAGTTTTCTAGCTACTTTCCCTAACTTTTGGTTGCCTATGTTATGTTTGGAGGGATTCTCAGATAAGACAGTGTCAGCTTGTCTACTATTCTCTGAATAAGTCGTGCAGAGAGAGGGGTTATGTTTTTTTGTACAGCCGAAAATAGTCTTCTCGCATATATAGGTTTCTAGCGTCAGTACATGGGTATCTGGAATCATTTCTCTGCGTCCCAAAGTTTGTTTCGCTATTCAGGTTTAATTTATGTGGCATAAGTACCCTGTTTTTAGATTGTCTCGAGGGTTTTACATGTTGAGTCTTCCGTAGTCACATATTTGTTGACTCATTCTGTGCATGTATGCAGGAGGACTCTGAGCCAATCTTTATCCATTATGTTGATGTGGTTCTACATAACTACTACGAGGGTTCGAAAATGAATTTCCATTCATACGGTATCTATCAGCGTCCCGTCTGACTGCCCATGTGTTCTTATTATTAATTTCAGGTCTTATTCTCAAGTCGTATTTGCCTCTAGGCATATTAAAACCTCAGTAACTGCTGTAGTCGTGGGTCCGGTCATCTTATTTAATCAGTTTGGCGCCCATTTGCGTCTGCTAGCTCATGGTTTTGTGTGGATAAAGCCATATTCGCTGTTACTTCTCACCTCACGTGGTCTATCGCCTACACCTTGCTTATCACCCTTAGTTCGGGGAGAGCACCTTTACTCACGTCTTCTGTCTCCTCTGTGGAACCTGCCGTGATGCGTGCACAGTGCTTTTTTAAGTTGGCAGGGTGTATGTTGGGATTATCGCAAGGCAAGTATATGGACAACTGTGGAGAGACCTTGGATTCTGAGGACTTCTACCCGGTTTCCACTGTGAGATTCCCTTGCTTAGCCACAGGTGTAGTGTAACCTGTCGCTATTTGCAGGTTAGTGGCAGTGGTAACCCCCATGTTAACTCCATGTGTGGGGTCAGCAGATTTCTTGGGATCGCTCTCATGAATTTTACGATTTCCCCAGTGTTGCTGCTCCTTTTAGGTTTCAATCCACTTTCGTGTTTTGTTTGTTCGCGTAATTTTACGCGAGTGTCACTTTTTGTTTCAGTGTCTTTCGACACTTGGGCACTGACATTATTCATGATTTGTGGTATAAACGTGTTTGTATTTAAGGTGTTCTTAGCTACTTGTCGTTGCTTGGGAGTTTTGTCTGAGACTATCTTAACATTCTTGAATTTTGTAGAAGAGGCCAAAATATTCTCATATTTTCTAAATAGTTCGGCTACTATTCAACTGTCAAATATGAATAGCGTTGGACAATTATGGTTTGGGCCTTTTCATCTAGCCGAATGCACTGACAGGGTGTGCTTAAGAGGTATGCAGCCCCTAACAAGGACTGTTGAGCTGACTTTATAGGCTCAGTGTCGGGTATATTGTGCACCACGGCGTTCTGTTTAGACGAGACTTTCAACAACTTCACTCTACAAAAATTTCATAACCTCTTTTAATATGTGTAAAACTTGATCATTGTGGTAGTAAGTAATTACATATTAGTTTGTTTATTAGGTATATCACACAGTGAAAAAGTATTATTTACTAGATGGGTGTGAAATATGTACCCCCAAGTCCACTAACTTCAATGCTTTTACTGACCTAACTATCAGCAAAACTCTCAGAATCTAAGTGGATAGGCATCCACATGAATGAGAATAAAATTCTCGTGGGATGTATAGATGTATAGAGACCCAACAGCCCTAAAGTGACTGATATGACTATTGGTGAAATACTAGAGCATGTACCTACGCTGAAATTCGACCCCAAGGTAGTACTGTCCGAGCGACATGGCTGAATTCGTCGACTGCATTAAAGAAGTTAGAGTGGGTGAGAAACGCATGGTACTACCCTATGCGGAGTTTCTGTTTTCAAATGCCTCGATCGCAGAGACGATTTTCTTCCCATGCGATGCTTGAAGAACAACACCTTGAGTATTGGAATGTCGACTTTCAGGTTAAGAATACTTCTGCACAGATATTCACGGAATGCCTACTTCACACTCAGTGGTGATTTTCACAGACAGAAATTTGGCGTGACCGTGAGGCCATTATTAGGTCCAGTGTCTGCAAAATCGAAACAGTGCAGAATCCAACTGAGTTCCTTCAACGAGAAAGAATCTTGCCAACTTTAAATTCGCGATAAATACCCGCCCATACATGGAAATGACAACAGATAAGTCAGCGAAGAGTCTCTTTTCGGCGAGTTCATTAACTCATCTGTACGGTCGAAGCTATACATAATTAATTTTTTTTGCGTGTACACGACACTCTTTAACATCGTTTTAACTAATATTTCGTTCACTCTCTTCACCAGCTACATAATTACTAGATTTCCCCACATTTTTTCTGAGATTTAGTGGTGTCGTTTTCTCAAATAACCTTTAATTCACTGTGTTCAACTGCTAGGGAATACATTTCGATATGTGACCCCATACTCTCTCATTGATATATAGATTCTTCTGAATGTTTTGCGCAGCTTCAGTCTAACTCACTAATCTTAGTTACAATTTGATTATTTACCGCCGTCTTGAAATTTACTGATGATGTAAACTGACTTTTATCCTTGTCTGGAAAAATGAACGCACACAGATATCCAAAAATAATTGTATATGATTACGAGTGCACAGCTAACTAGATGAATGTGATAATTGTCCCGAAGCTAACAGACATCGCATTAGTTGGCGGGAAATTTCCGAAACATTGGGAATACAAATCATTCACTGGAGATTTAACTCTATTAGAATAGATGCTGTCCCTATGAGACATGAAGTGGGACAAAATATGAAAGAGAACAGTCGTCCTAACTAAGTCCGTTCATTCGTTCGGTGCCTCTCAGGATTATGGAAAGAACTCTGATTTCATTTGCACATAAAACGCTTTTGTGTACAACAGAAGCAGGAATCGAGAAAATTTAATGCCTCTATATATTGCATGCGTACTACAAAATTCGGACGCATAGTAAATTGGGACATTGAAATACTCCTTGTTTAGGTCAGTCAGTTGATGATATAATTAAGCGGATTTAATTTGGTTGACTTTGTGTACGTGAGTGGTTTTCTGGTACTTCGGGCGACTGTCAACATGTGTAAGCCTCGTTGGTGTTAGCACAGTTGAAGTTGAACTTGTTCCTTGTTCAGTTTATGTTAGAAATGTTTTGACTGTATGTGTGGATTAAATAAAATGATGAAACCAGGAGAATGCAAGTAACGTCAAAGGGTGCCATTTAGATAGCACATCAAAATGAGTAAGCAATATGACGAGTATGAGACGGGGATTTTACTAATTGTATAAGTGATTGGGTCTTTTCTGTTCCCCCGTAAAGGCGAGTTTTTGTCTCCGAATTCGGGAAAGTTGTGTTGTTGGTTGAATATTGGCAATTCTATGGTACAGTGAATTTCGGTTTTAGCATGCTTTTGATGTACACCGCCACATCACCTGAGGCTTTCCACCATAGTTTGTATGAAGAGCGCAATGTTTTTTGACAGGAATGTTTGGTGTGGCATCCTACTTTCGTAGTAAGAGTAAAGTGCCTTGGTCAACGATAAACGTCTCTGACACCCGCCTCGTAGAGTCGAGTGCCACCTTAAGCCCAGTGAGTGTAACAGGTGCTAAATACTTATTAGGGTGTCTTTTTCGAGGGTGGAGAGTTTGTCAGATTATTTTAGTCAGGGCCTGAAGTTTCGGCGTTGCAAGGGCCTATGAGGATATCCCGTTTGGAATGGGGGCAACCACTGGTGTTTTCCAATGTCACAAAGCAACGCTCTTATTCAATCTTGTTAAGACGTTAGAGATGACAGTGAGCGGTGATCAGGAAAACTGTATTGTGTGGGTGTTAAGGCGGTAGTCACCTCTCAACTGTCCGCTGCAGAATTTTACTTCTTTGAGGAACACCTGATACATAAAGAGAATTAGTATTTGGTGTTTCAAAGTCCGAGGAACAAGTGGTTTAGGACAGTCAGACATGTCCTGTTATGAGTTGTTTCTTGCAGTTATAAGACATTGTTGGCTACCGATCGCAGCAGGGGGAGTCCAGACTTTTCACTGCTGGGGATTTTCTAACCTTTCTCTTCATAGTGGGCAGGCAGTATGGCTGGCTTGCTGGTAGTCTGTAGGAAATGCCTTACTGTTAATATGACCTTATCCTCCAGTGGCATTATTTCACCGTCGGATTCCCAACAGTACAAACGACTTGTAGCATGAAAGCACTTCTAGTCAAATATCTATCTAGACGACCTTTCTAGCATGGTAAGACCTCTAGAAACGTTTCTCCCAGCCAACGTAGCTGTTTGTGTCTTTGCTGTTTGTAAGGTCACCCGTCACTTGAAAGTGATAGTTATTCCTAAACTATTGGGTCGGGAATTGATTTGCAAACAGAATGATCCTAAGTGAAGATGGCTCTTTCCTAGGGATGTATTTCGTCTGCCCAAACGCTTAGATTTAGTTCTTGAGTTTACAGGTTTGTCCCCACTTCTTACTTCAGGCTTGCATGATTAGTGTGGCTCTTAGGCTATTACATGAATGACCTGTCCCGGGTAGTTTAGTTAAATTAACAATAGTAATGTTTTCGGGAAGACCAAAATTAAATTCAGAACTGACTAGATATTGGCAAAGATCTGAGCACTTTTAGCGTGTGTTCATCATTGTAGAAGTTGTTCGGTTGACTCTGTCGAATTTTTGAATATCACTGAGGTTTTTTCACACAGTCAGGTTTCTCATTCGTGTCATTATTTCCACAATCGCTTTTCTTTTCCGTTTGATTTCTCGAAGTGTGGTGACAAAGTCCTGCATTTTGTGCAGAGTGCCACATTAGGTTGATTTATCAGTCACTAAAGGGTGTTGTTCATTTGCTCTGGTGTGACATGTGGATTTTGTGCACATTTCCAGCTCTTGTCTGACCATCCCACTGGTTCGTAATGTCGATTTTGATTCTATTATTCAAGTTGATATCAAATGTCGATGCGTAGTATTTTTCATTATGCTATTACAAAGGCTTATACTCTGGTGATTAATACTGAGGCAAGCGTAAAATTTTGGGTAAGGACGTCCAAATCGATCGATGAGTTTGTGAGGCTATTACGACTGATGCACATTACTCATGTCTTGCGACCACCTTCGCGATCGATTTCTGGTGGCACAACATTAGATTGGTTTCGTCAGAACTTGGCATCAGACCATGAAGTATATAGCTGCTGATTGTAGCTACTTAGGAATGAGTAGATAACCTGGTTGTGCCTGCTTAAATGACGCATGTACTTCCGTAGTTTGCTATCTTATGAGGCGTCAGGTTTTCGTCACTGATGGTTATTATTTACACCTTTAGTTAACGAGTCGAATATTTTTGTCAGCAGCATATGTCCACTTCATTCGTATCTGTGTAGTTCGTTCATTGTAGTTTCTTTCGTTCCACCCCCTGCTTGTATGTTCCGTATGGAGTGTGGCAACTTAAACAGCTGCACTTGTGTGTGACGTGTTACGCTGAAAACTCACTCATTGAAAGCGTATTTGCCTTGACTGTTTTCTACTGCTGTATGAATCAGTCACTGGTTTCTCACAGCTAATCAGTGATTTGTATCCCCGGAAAATGTCGCATGCTGAGTGATTTATTTTTACTATATTTGTCACGAACTGTAATTTTAGGTGGTGCAAGTAAGTTTTTTTTAATTTCTCACACATTTTAGCACATCAATTAATTTGTCTGCTTAAACTTTTCTTTCAGATAAATCAAATTACATGGCTCCGTACAAAATTGTGTTTATTCGTCATGGTGAAAGTGTTTACAATGAAGAGAATAGATTCTGTGGTTGGCATGATGCAGATCTTTCAGTTCAAGGTGTAAATGAAGCTAAACAAGCTGGTCAGCTTCTCCGTCAAAATCAATTTACTTTTGATATTGCCTATACAAGTGTTCTAAAAAGAGCAATTAAGACGTTGAACTTTGTTCTAGATGAACTTGATCTGAATTGGATTCCCGTCTCAAAGTATGTTAAAAAACATAGTGTGTATAGATTTTTTCCTAATATATTGTACTATTCTAAACTGGAAATTCAATTGCATCTTAGTTGTGCAGTTTCCTTACAGAATTCACATATTATCTTCATTTTCGAGTTGCATGATTTGGGCAGATGATAATTATGGTGACATTGGAAAGAAAAACTAGGCTGTTTATTTAAAGTTTAGAACTAACTAGGTGTTAAAATATCTCCCTAACAAGTGATTCTCACTTCAATCCAGATAGCGAGGAAAGGGGAGGCTTTGGAGTCTACTCGAAAATGTCACAAGGTATATTCAACTGAGTATACGGAAATGGTCCTAAACAGAAGCTCGTTCTTGACATATCTGTACATCCATAAGCGGCTAAAGATAATGTTCTATAGTTCTTCAATAACTAATGTTTTTCTCGGACATCTGTGAGGAGGATTATCCGGAATCCCTATTGCAGTATGACGTTAGAAGTCAACATTCATATTTTATGTTTGTTCTTGATAACTAGGGAGTTACGTGGATCCCACATCTTGTCGTATTAAAAAATTCCAGTGAATTACCATTTCTTCACTTTTTAAGCAATCCTGTCTTCTGTACATCTTGCTGATATTTTCAAGAAAAACAAATAAATTAGGTTTCTGTACAGGAGAAGTCTGAATTTTTGGATATATCATTTTTCCATCTTGGCTTCCTGTGTACATGATCATCAGAAGTAAAACAGAGAATTAGTGTTTTTTTCGATCTATCCCAGTTGTTTATACGAACTGTCAGATGCACCATTTACTTTGGTAATATTGTTTTGCTTTACGGTATTGTTCTCAGTAGCAACTATTTGAGCAGTATTCTGTGTTCTTAGCTAAATCTCTTGGTAATTTCTGAGAAAACATTAACCTTGTACTTTCTTATAAGCAAGCAAGTTGTGTTCTGTTTGCACATATTGCATTTAAACATTGCTTACTAAATTATATTTTCTATCTTTCTTTATTCTAGGACTTGGCGTTTAAATGAGCGGATGTATGGTGCTCTTCAAGGATTGAATAAATCAGAAACTGCAGCTAAACACGGAGAAGAGCAGGTTAAAATATGGAGACGAGCATACGACATACCCCCTCCTCCAGTTGACATTGAAGATCCTCGCTTCCCAGGAAACGAAGCGAAGTATGCAGTAAGTTCGTCTGTCTGAACAAATGCAGTCAACATTATCCATCAAAGTTAAGCTTTGTAATTTAAGGAAATCCAGGATATAAATTACTTAGCTGCCTTATTATGTTTTCTCAGATTTGACTTAGTAACTGTCTTTAGAGATGGCCAAATTTATTCTCCTTCCGTATACTTTTGTCGTATTAGGCAAACATTTTTTTATTCCTTTGTGTTCCCAGTGGAACACAGGGGTTCAAACTTTCGCTTTGAAGGTTCAGTAGCAGTCGTATATTTTGCGGGGTGGAGTTGCTAGCCTCACGCCCAACCTCCTCTTTGTCCGGATCATAACCGGCTAAGGCCTGGTCTGCCAGCACTCTACCACTGAACTACCGACATATTAAGCAAAAATTATTGCCCTAAACTTCATATTGTATGAAATTTTAATTCCAAAGAGAAGATGCACTACGGACATAGTACATCTTTCGGATCAGAAGGCCAGGAGGGATAAGCAAAATGCAACTCTGGCGAAGAACCAAATTGACACATATTGCCCAATAAATACTCCTAATGGAAAGAAGATGGGTTGGACACGCTCTGAGGAGACTTTTGGGTAACGTCACGCACCCGAATGGGTAACGACGAGTTGGACGTCCAAGAGTAGAATGGAAGAGATCGTGTGAGAAGGAAGTGAAAGCTTGCAGAGAGTTATGGAGCTAGCTAAAGTTGACTACGGAGAAGAGGATGAAATGGAGATACCCTGCCGAAGCTCTATCTTCCACTCGGAAAGCAAAGAACAACTAATTATTATATTGTTAACCACATGCAGCAGTAATGCTCATATTATGAGCTTCTCCTTGAAGGTTGGTTCACACACTAGATCAGTTGCTCCGTGCTGTATACGTTCACAACTCACCAGCAAGGACAAGTTAGTGTGTCGCTTCTCACCATCTTGCCTTGTTGTAGTTACTGCTTTTATACTAAGTTACCCAAACAAAATTTTCTTGGGATACGGTAGTTATCACTATTGGTTCAACTTGTAGACAACTAATTCTTGCGAAATATGAAATTAAAGTACTGAATCGGTTACATATGAGTGTCATCAGTGGTGATAACTGTAGAGATAAATATCGCGTAATGAAATATCTTGGCTGAGTCAAGTTAAGGTAGCCTTTGATTTGTCCAGAAGTTCTTGTAATCCAATTGACCGACCATCTGACAGGGAATCTTGAACAATGTCTTTTGTTTTGGAAATCTAAAATCTATTAAATATTCTCACAACTGATTCACTTCTCGTTAAAATAACGTTTCAAGAATATATTTTCAGGTAAAGATACACGATTTACCATAATGTGTATTTTCCGAGGTTTTTCATTTGGTCATAGACGTTGCATCACCAGACTTGGTAGCGTCTTTAACAGTAACTTTATTGACAGACATATATCGTAGTTTTTAAGTATTGGTTTGTAGGGATTTTGTTTGATTGGTTGGAGGATTTCATCATGAGCTGACATCAGTTCGAACCATTAGAAAACCTGGGAGTACTAAACAGCTGTTTCGTCCTAGCTTGGGACTCTTCAATAATATGCGCCCACTGGGGTATAATGCTCACTAGCGACTGGCCCATTCAGGCAGTTAACCTGGAGTTCTAGTGTGAAACCGTGACCAGTAAGGTATCGCGGGTCGAAGGTGAAAACAGTTACTCATCGAAGACATTGCGAAGTGGTCGCTTTATGTCGTGACTTGGCAGAAGTCAAAATTCATGGGCCATCAGGTCGGGTCCCAGTGGCTTAATGGTCTACGAGCTCGCTAGCCTTGTAATTAGAAGGTCCTGGATTAGAACCCCGGTGGTGCATGCTGTGACGAGTCCCGAACTAGGTGGGCGGAAACAGCTGTCCAGTAATCCCAGGTTTTCCAATGATCGGGTAGCCCCTTTTGGTCCAAGATATCGGTTTGAAATCAGGGTTTTCCAAGCTCCTCTTTGTGGACTCGCTTATCCACGAGTTTGGTTTTAAGCGCCAGACGTTCAAATTCACCCTTTCATATTTGTGAAGAACATTCCACTTCGTGAAGCCAATGAACAGGACTTACCTAGCAGAGGCTATGAACATGTCGCCACATGAGAGCATTTCGGGACAAAGACCGGGGTTTCCCCATCCTTGACCGTACCAGGTTCCTTCATGGGGCAACAGTCAGCTTACCCATTCTGAATGCATAAATGTATTCAGAAATGTAACGTTCTTGGGACAACTTTGTTTAATGATTGTCTGTTTGATTTCCAACTTTCACTGTATTGTCCAATTATTTAAGATATATTTTAATATAAAACCTACAAAATTTTTGGTTTTTTTTAAATGTTCTGTTTTCAGTTGCTCGATAGTTCATGTATACCACGCACAGAATGCTTAAAAGACACAGTACAACGTGTACTTCCTTTGTGGTTTGATACTATTGCTGCGAATATTAAGGTAAGTCAAAAGTTTTTCCAAGTTTCCCGTATACTAATCTATCATTGTTATGTTTAATGGCATTTGAATGAGGAATTGTACCATTCAAGACTTCTCTGATTAAATAATTTCGTAATTTTCAAGTTGAATTTTATGAAGTCAAGGCTAGTAGATCTTTTTCGACCATAATTACCTTACTGCTCTATATGTGTTCTACTTAACACCAGTAGGTAAAAATTCCTAGTCATATAAAGTGGTAGCTTACAAAGGCATACATTATGCTTTCCATTTTTTAACCTCAAAGTTTGGTTTGTAAGGGTTAGTTTTGTTTTTACGAGTTGATCATGGATTGATATCAGTTAGAAAACCATTGAAAACCAGGGAGTACTGGACAGCTGTTTCATCCTAGTTTGAGAATTATCGGCAGTACGCACCCACTGGGGTTCTAACCCAGGACCTTCAGGTTACAAAGCAAGCTGGCTCGTATACCATTCAGCCACTGGGACCCGATTCAATGGCCAGTCCATGAATTCTAACTTCCACCAATTAGTGATTTAGCTGTCCAGTACTCCCTAGTTTTCAATGAATCTCTAACTGATATCAATCCGTGATCAATTCGTAACCTCAAAGTTCCATTCTTCATTAGTTGAAGATCTTTTCATTCAAACAAGTTCTTGAAATTGCATCTGAGCTCGAAATCACCACTGCATTGTCTAAAAATAGATATGACTGAATGGACAGTAAGTATATTTTGGTAACTGCACGTTGCAGTTGTAGAGACTGGTTTGTCGCAAACTGAGTACCACCTGTATCTGTTGCTTGTAGATGTTGGGTGGTCTTTTCTTTCATTCCTTTTCATTCTGAGTAGAACATAAGGCTTCAGGTTTTGAAGTTTCATTCTCAGTAGTTTTTATTTTCTATGAGACGGGGCTGCTAGCCTCACTCCCAACCTTCCATTTTTTGCCGGTCTACTGCCGACTAGACAAGGTTTGGGAGGGCGTCAGCTGCGAATCAAACACCGGACCATGTGAGGCGTACCACCATCACCTAAGCATTCAAAAATGGAAATTTGACACATTGTCTTAAGCACTTGGTTTTTAGCCGACGGGTCACAGGTTCGAGTCTCGCTCTACCTACTTCACCCTGGGTAACTTGGGTAGTATCTTCGGCTGTTAGTCTGATGCATGAAGAATCTGTTCCCGGTGAACTGAGTTCAAACGAGCATTCAATGATTACATTCCTTGCTTTCATATTTTGATTAAGCCTTTCATTTTCACATAATATTACTTTTTCCATTGTATTTTTGCCATTGTATATTTAGTCTTGCAAACGTATTCTGATTGTTGCTCATGGAAATAGTTTACGGGCTCTTATCAAGTACTTGGATAATGTATCTGACTCAGATATTGTAGAACTCAATATACCTACTGGTGAGTTAAACTGTACTGTTTATTTGTCATTTTATTCTCTAACCTGATCGTTTATGTTCTACAAATAAGATTGTTTTATTATCATTATTGAGTTGATTCTGGTAGGCCTAAAGTTATCGTTTTAGCTAAAATGATTTTTGCTTTCGACAAGTAATATTGAACAAAGTATGATGTAAATAATACTTTCTGTAGTGAAAAACAGTCTATGATCATTTCCCGTTTCAAGTTTGATCAGGATCTGGCATCAGTTAGAGAACCACTGAAGTACTTACTGGACAACCGTTTCGTCCTAGTTTGGGGCTCTTCATAAGTTCACGCCCACCATCGTTCAAACGTGAGGACAAATACTTACCGATGACATTGACTAGTGATTGTGCTAAAACCACAAATTACTAGAAGTTGGAATTCATGGGCCATTTGATCACGCTCCAGTAGCTGGAGAATGCTCTACGAGCTGGTCTTGTTGTAACCCGAAGGTCCTGGGTTCGAACTACTGAAAAGTTCCTAACTAGGATGAAACAGCTGTCCAGCACTCCCTTTTTTTCCAGTAGTTGTCTGACTGATTTCAGCGTGTGATCAAACTTGGGATAAATCGAATCCATACAAACCAACTCTTGAAAATCACTGATTTCGTCGTGTGTGTGTGTGTGTTTTTAAGGAAATATCTCATTACAGTTAGTTGGCCTAATCCTAGATATCCATTGTTTAGTATTTGAACTGTGTGAAGGATATACGTTGTCAGGTTTTCGCGAAATGATTTTGACATAATTGTACTAGTAAGTGAATTTATGTGTCAGCTAGAGAAACTGGGTCAGTTAAAACCGCTTTGCGATAAATCATGTTGTTTGCGTTTTACAGTAAACAAACAAACCGACAACGAATCCACTATGCTGTTGTACTAGGTCATCCCTGAATAAATGGATGCAAAACTCTATGCTTGGGACTGCGTTTATGCTCTATTTCGCAGATGTGCTTATGTTGACTTTGAATAATCTCTTTCTTCGGTAAACAATGCTAGCGGTGTTGCTGCTGCTGCTGGATTCAACATAGAAATTGGCACCGAAGTGCAGCAGTTCCAGTTGCCACGTTCCAAAATAGCACACAAAGGTAGACAGGAAAATGAGTGAAGAGAATCAATAGAGTTTTGACAAGCATAAGAGTGAAACAGAATGAGTAATGATACAAAAGGAATATGAGACTGAATACATCTGCATAAGCCATTGACAACGATTTTGAACCATGTCACCTATTGTCTCCAGCCATTGATTCTTAGAGTCCCGAGGGCCCCAACCTGGAAGTCTGCATCTCCCTACCTGACTCAATTTAACTGTCAGGGATTTCATGGATTGATGCCATGTTTTTGTTTGGCCACCGCTTACTCTTTTCTAACCTGCACCTATATCAGCTAGTAATGCCTGTCTGGGGAGGCGATGGTTAGGTATGCGCAGCACGTGACTTAGCCATCTCAATCTATGTAACTTTATAGCGTCTTCGATTGATTTTCCTTCTCTGCCCAACACTCTACGCTTAACGTCAACATTACTTACCTTATTATACCACCTAACGCGAGAAAGAGATCGTAAACATCTGTGGTCAAAAACAGACAATCTCTTCATGTCTTCCGCTCTCAATGGCCACGTCTCACCGCCATAGCGAAGGACGGAGCGAACTGCTGGCGGTGTTAAATTTTAATCGGGAGAAAGATATCTTAGACGTTGTCCCTGTACTTCAGCTATACTACTATCGATAATGGAATATATGAAATACCTAATTACAAACTATAGGACAGCGGGGAATCAACGACTGAATCAGTTTCATTGATTCGGATGTGATCAAACTGTTTTTATTCGTTTGTGTTCCGAGTGGAGCATAGGTCTGCAAGCTTGACCCTTGAAGTTTCAGTAGCAGTGATTCCATATTAGTTTGTTTATTAGATGTATCACACAGTGAAACAGTATTATTTACTGGATGACGTTTCGAACAAAATTTATTGTTCATAATCATATCCCCAATTATGACCACACGACTTCGAAACTTGAGTCTTATAGTTTTCTTTGTTCTCTCCTATTTGTCGTAGGAGTAGGAGAATTTTCCACATGTCTGGGACAGGTGTTGAATCATTCCTGTTACATGTATTTGCAGTTGATTCGATAAACAACGCTTCTGTTATCAATCTCTCCTTCCACCCTGTGACATTAGATTTTAAAACTGTCATTCTATCCCATCCTATTGTATGGTTATGTGTAACTGCATGTAGTGCTATAGCTGAACTATTCTCTAGATTTCTTATCTTATTCGGGTCAACCAATCTAGATTTTCCTAGGTTTTTATGTTCAGCTAGTCTGACTGCCCCTGTTCTGCTAGTTTGACCTATGTATTTGACCTAAAAATCTTCGCAGGCAGGGTATTAGATAAACTAAATTTTTTTCTTTTAAAAGCTTCACAGGATCCTTTAAATGACAAAGCTTGTTTCTAATTGAGTTTGTGGGTTTGAATGCCAGCCGCTTTCATTCCTGCCTTGTTAAGAATTCTCCGTAAGGTTTCTGAGGTTCTTTCCTTGTATGGAATTACTACTGTTGATTTAGATTCCTTATTGTTGGTGTTGCCATTATCTTGCGCATGTTTGACATGCATGTCGTCATTAATATTATTATTATTATCACTATCACTACTATCATTATTTGTTTAATTTTAACATTTCCCTACATATTTCCTGACTACTTTATCAGGGTAATTATTAAGTTTCAAGGCTTCTCTTATATGTATCACTTCCTGTCTTAGATTTTCCTTGGTACTACCTAGTTTTTGTGTTCTGTCACTTCAACATTTCACCAATCCTATTTTAACTGACATAGGATGGGATGATCGGAAGTCCAAATATCTGTTTGAGTGTGTGGGTTTCCTTTAAACACTAGTGTTTAACTTCCCATCTTTTTTTCCTTTTGACGCTGCAATCTTACATTGGAAGCTCCCCTTCCTGACTTTCCTATTCATAAGTGAATTGAATTGCTTCAACCTTCGAGTTGATGTGTTCGAAAAACCTATCTATATCCTCTGTTCTAACTACAGTAAATGTGTCATCTACATACCTCCACCATACCTTTGGGGTAGGGGTGTTGTATCAATCGCTAGCAAAATCTAGATTAGTTGACCCGAATAAGATAAGAAATCTAGAGAATAGTTCAGCTATAGCACTACATGCAGTTACACATAACCATACAATAGGATGGGATAGAATGACAGTTTTAAAATCTAATGTCACAGGGTGGAAGGAGAGATTGATAACAGAAGCGTTGTTTATCGAATCAACTGCAAATACATGTAACAGGAATGATTCAACACCTGTCCCAGACATGTGGAAAATTCTCCTACTCCTACGACAAATAGGAGAGAACAAAGAAAACTATAAGACTCAAGTTTCGAAGTCGTGTGGTCATAATTGGGGATATGATTATGAACAATAAATTTTGTTCGAAACGTCATCCAGTAAATAATACTGTTTCACTGTGTGATATATCTAATAAACAAACTAATATGGAATTACTTACTACCACAGTGCCCAAGTTTTACACATATATTAATTTAGTAGCAGTGATGTTTATTTTTTACGGGATTGGGTTGCTAACCCTACACCCAACCTTCGTCTTTTACAGGGCTTATTACTCCTAGTACTGATTAAGCAAGATTTGGGAGTGAGTCGGTCAAGGCCTTAAACCCTGGCCCACGTTCGTGGTGTTAGCGAGTCTGTGCTACCACTGAACGGCCGACGCCTTTGTCTTCATTTTTGTCACGTTTCGCCATGTGCTTAGTTTTCCCTTGTGTTATGAATTCCTACAATTACATTTCTATCTTTTATCTTTTAGGTATTCCTCTTGTTTACGAACTTGACAATAACTTAAGACCAATTAAACACTATTATCTAGCTGATGAGGCAACAGTTGCAGCTGCTATTGCTCGTGTAGCCAATCAAGGCAAGAAGAAATAAACAACTTTCGATCACTAAGTGAATGCTTTTCATTTTCTGTCTTCATGTAGTAATCCTCCCCCGAATGTGAACTGTGATGATGATGAATCATATGTAGTTGACTTTTAACTTACAGTATCTGACATGCACACATGCACAGTTGATTGGTGGTTCACTCATTGTAATTTTAATTGATGAAATCAAGTAAATATACTTTTCTGATCACTTTTAATGTGTTCTAATCAAAAGCTATTATGCGTCGGTGGCATAGCGGTTAGGACGCTCGCCAACCATGCACATGGTCCGGGGTTCGATTCCCGGTCGACGCACTCCTCTACCTCGCTAAGCCAGAACTAAAGCTGGTGAAGAGGAAAGGTTGGGTATGAGGCTAGCAACCCCATCCTGTAAAAATAATCACCACTGCTACAGAAACTTCAAGTCACTAGCTTGAAGCTCTATGTTCCACTGGGGAACGTGAAGGAATAAAAAAAAAATCAAAAGCTATGGGAAAAACACTTAAGTAATATTAGATATATATTCCCTGAAGCACACTTCAATTCTCATTTGTGTATTCTGATTATTTTGCTGACTGCACAAAGAGTACTTCTAGAGCTAATACAAAATTCTGTAGATGGTGATTGACTCCTTACCGACTGAGAAAGCAGGGATACAGCTGTATAGCATAATTTAAAAGCTTTTAGAGGTCACCAGCTAGTTAGTGAAGCCTTTTTTTCTATAACCTCTGACTACTCCTAGCTTGAAGACAGGGAGTGAAGTGGTGGAGCGCGTTGACCACTTCAGTTAATTAGGAATTTACATCAACTTTAATGCACTGATTGCTGGTGAAATTACAGCACGTATACAGAAGGCTCGTTTGGCATATGCCAATTTACGCCATATCTGGCCTAGTAGATGTGATATCCGACCGGCTGTCGACCAAAGGGCTTGTGTACTGCTCAGCAGTTCACTCTGTCCTCCATTATGGCAGTGAGACATGGCCATTGAAAGTGGAACATGCGAAAGGGTTAGCTGTCTTTTATCATAGGTGCATGCGTTCTATCTACCGTGTGAGATGGTATAATAGGGTGATTAATATTGAGGTTAGGGGTCGAGTGTTAGGTAAACAGCGAAAATCAATCAATGAGGTTGTAGGGCTACATCGATTGAGATGGTTACGCATGCATCCTTAGCCATCGCATTCCTCGACGGTCAGTTTTAGCTGACATAGGATGGATCAGGTTGGAAATTTCGAATGGACACTAACTAATATCATGCGTCTAGTGCGTTGCTTGCTGCCGACTTAATTTTATCAGTCAAGTTTGCAATGTGGCCACCAGGCTAGCTGGCTCACCATCACGATACACTCAGAATTGTTGATATTAGATGGGTGGAGGCAATCGGTAGGAATACTTGGACCTAGTTCTTGTGCTTGTTGGTGCACTCGTCAGCAAGGCGTATATACAATCTTGAAGGCTATCATATCCCTTTTGACTGATAGAATTCAGTCTGCAGCAAATAAAGGACTAGACACATTACACTAACTAGTGTCCAATCAAAGTATCCAATACAATCAGTCCTATAGGAGGTAAATCGCGAACCAGAATAGCTCAGTGGTAACGTCTCTGACTGTAGTAGCACTGGGTGGCACGGGTTCGAATCTCAGAAGGGATATGAGATCCTTCACGATTGCAGATACGCCTTCCTAACGATTGCCTCCAACCATCTAATAACAACTTTTAAAGTAGCCAATTCGACAAATAAACTGAATTTCTCACGAAAAAATCGGTTAACCCAAATAGGCATAAAGTACCTTTTGCTTTTAAACGTAGTTCATGTTGCAAGCGAAATAAGGTTTTGATCGAATCAGGCTACTTTCGTCACTTTTTTAGGACTGAGAACTGCGGACTTTAGTTTCCTCAACAATAAAGTTATATTGTAGATGTCTGAACCCACTTTGACTTTAGGATCTATTAAAGCTGAACTATTTCAAGGAGTACGTTATTTCCATTCGACTGACACCACTGGTTTTCAAGTTAAACCATATATGTTTTGAGTTCGACTAGGATATTTATTCTCATATGTCTAGCTATTTGAAGATAGCTTTGCTTTTGATTTGAAATTTCCTTACCAAACCAAAATATGCATGGCAGTAGATGATTCCCGATCTGATACCAAAACTGTGAATCAGTATCATAGGAAAATGCATAATCACTCTACAACAGAGTATAGTTCAATAGTCTACTTTAGCGTGCTCTTTGTCAATCAGAATGCAAAACAGACTTGTATACTTCCGCCTATTCTAAGTACTGATTCGTTGAATTTCCGTAAGGCTGATTCAATACTAGTGTTCGACATCAAATATCTTTCTTATTATCTGGTATACAATTGCAATTGTACAGGGTTGGTCGAAGTAAATACTTCCACTGAATATATCCTTCATCAGTGGAGTTATTTGCCTTAACTTATATCGTCAATGAAGATTGAAGTACTAAGTGTTACTGCAGCATGATGCAAATTGACAGAAAGCGGTCAAAACTGAAATCAACATTTTACGTCAATGACTGCACAAATAGAAGTGTTTATTCTTCAAATCTGGATTTAGTTTACGTTGTAAACATGAAATTACCTCATTGGGCAACTAATTTGCGTTGATTTCCGACCAATCAGAACGTTCTATTGTCCTCTTACCTAGCCAAACTTCAATGTGGCTGTGAATATTTAAACATGCAGGTCCGTTACCAAGTCTCTTATCTTCTCCCGTTACATTACTATTATCAGACGTATCAATGTTTAATTGGAAAATACGACTATATTGTTAGTAGCACTGGGCAGTTAACACTACTACTAACGAAATCAGCCTACAAAATATCTTTGGGAAATTAATTTTATACTCACCAGTGACTGACTGCATGAGTTCAGAAGTCGTGACCAGTGGTGTCCATCAAGTAGAGTGTAAAAACAAACACTCGCCGATGACACTGTCTAGCAATGGCACTAAAATAACGAATTGGTAAGGTTGGCATTCATTGGCCAATAGATCATGTCTTAGCGGCCCAATGGTCAACGAGCTCGCCTCACAACTTGAACCTCCTAATTTCGATCCTTGATAGGGTCATTGGTGTGCACTAATGAAGAATCCCAAAGTGGGACGAAACGGCCCTTCATTACTGCCTGCTGGTTTTCTAACTGGCACCAATTTTTGATCAAAGTTGAAACTAACACTTGACTATTTTAGGAATAATTCCAAATATACATTAGTCAAAAGTAAACGTATGCATTAATCATAGAAATTGATTCGCTGGACAGACAAATACCTCTTAAAGCCAAATGGAAGCTATAAAAACTTTTCCTATTTACCAGTAAATGAAGATACAGCCACCTGACCTTCACTGGCTGCACACTGAAGATCAGAAAGAATAAGCAACAAGAAACTCTGGGGACGCACCAATCAAGAACCTTTTGTCCAACAAATATGCCCGAAGAAAGTTGAGATCGACTGGATACACGCTGAGGACATCGTAGGATGATATCAAGCTCGAGGCCCTCGAATATGAAGCAGTGAGTTGGGCCTTCCTCCGAAGGTGAATTGGAGGAGGTCGTGCAAGGAACAGAATAAAGCTAATGGGCAACTGTGGAACTAGCTGAAGAAGACTGCAGAGAATAGGACAAAGTGGAGATGTGCCACTGAAGTTTATGTGCTCCACTCGGAAGCCAAGGGAATATTAATAATAGTAATCAATGAATGAATCAGGCCACAAGATTGATTTTATTAACACTGAAATATTTCAGAATTCACAAAGAACATCTCATATTCATAACCACTTCGCATTAAATGGAATCTGAATCGTCTGAGTAAAAATGACTGATTGAGAGAGAATGTGATCTTGTCCCAACAACCCCATGTGAAGTGACAAAATCAATACAAGTGACTAATGGATGTGTGAAGGATAAACTGCCGCTTTGGGCCACTTCAGTGTGTGTTTATAAGTTCAACTGCTCCTGTGGAGCTAGTTATATTGGCCGCACAAAGCTCACACTTCCCAAACGCATCTCTGGACATTATCCGGAATGGTTGGCAAAACGACAGTACAGTGCTCAGTTCTCGAGAACTTGGTGTACTCAAGCCACACGGCTCCACCAGAGTCGTCTTTCAAGGTTATCTGCAAAGTGAAGTCAAATGGTACAAAAGACGTCAGGTTTCGGCATCTGTGTATGGAGGAGGCGTTGGCAATTCATCAATACAACCCCGAACTCTGTATACAGAAAAAGTTTGCCCAGCCTCTTATTCTACTATGGTCTTAACCTCTTCACTAGTCGTTCCTTGTAAATTTTTAATTTTACTTTCAGTTTGCTTCTACTTTAATAATTAATTCAATGTTGTCATTCTCACATGTTTTTTTTACATTTTCTCACCCTCTTCACATTTATTAAATGGAAACTCAACTACCTTTCTTTTCACTCAACAACAACTTTAACCTTATCAAATTTCTAACCCTTTCCTCCTTTGTGCTGTTGAGTATTACATAATTTGTGGCTTTTATTTTTTTACTTTTGAAACCATTTATATCAATTACACCACCCCTATTACTCAATAATAGACTACAATACATTTTTGGTATACTTACTCCTTATTCTCCGTACTTATAATGCGGAGGTCGAGAGTTCGAGCCTCTCCCGGGGTAGGAATTTTGCGTCGGTGGCACAGCGGTTAGGACGCTCGCCGACCATGCACATGGTCCGGGGTTCAGTCCCCGGCCGACGAACTCCTTTACCTCGCTAAGCCAGAAATAATGCTGATAAAAGGGAAAGGTTGGGCATAAGGCTAGCAACCCCATCCTGTAAAAACTAAACACTGCTACAAAAACTTCAAGCCACTAGCTTGAGGCCCTATGTTCCACTGGGAACGTGAAGGGAAAAAAATACATTTTTGGTAAATATAAATACGACTGTACAGCCTCTGAAGATGATTTCATCGTTAAAGAATATTTTCTTCGCTGAATTATCTTTTATTTTCTTCATGACTCAATTGGTTATTTTCGGTGATTTCAATACAAATGTGATTAACATTTTCATCAAGTGAATGTGCTGTTTTTAATAATTCATACATTTATCAGATACAACAATCTTCATATAGTTGATTACCTTAGCCGATATGTTCACTTGACAACTATGACTCGATTCGAAGTCAAAGGCTACACTGATGCAGAAATTCTTGGAAACCGGTCTTCCGAGTGTCTGAAGGAGGCACTCGAAGCAATCATCTTACTAATCACATTCTCCAACAGACAATTAATCCAGTTAAGCGTTAAGGGATGAGATACCGCTCTTAGCCATTTCAGTATTTATTTATCAGTTTACTTATTCCTGTGTAGCAGTGTACCACAGCCGTACTTAGCGTCAACTTCGTAGACGTATTCTGGAACAGTTTTCAGCCTGATTATCTACAGGTTAACACCAATAGTTCTATCATCGAACGTCTTGCCAACTTTGGACATCGAGCACCTGCTCCCTGCCATGATTGCTTCACGGGGTTCTTGAATGCCGCATGGAAGCACATCGAATACTTCAATTGTACATAGTCGAATCACTGGCTATTTGGGACCTGAAATCGGACCACTGTGTTCAAAAGCACTACATACATTCACTCACCTTACTTTTGGCCAGAGTAACGTTCTTACCATTATTTTGTTTCACTTTGTTATTATTATCCCTACTATTGTTTATTAATGGAAGTGCATTTTTCATGCAAATTTTATGTAAACACTTTACCGGCTTTTCACTAACTTTTGTCAACTTAAATTGGTTAGTTCGTTAATTTTCACACTTGTTACGTAATTCCAACTTCGGTCCTTTTCTGCTAATCTCCATTCACACATTCCTACCTAGGCAACACCTCACATTACGTAATGCTGCCGCTGCTGAATTCAATATAGAACTTGGCACTGAAGTGCAGCAGTTCCAGTTGCCACTTTCCAAATAGCACACAAAGGTAGACAGGAAAATGAGTGAAGAGAATCAATAGAATTTAGATAAGTATAAGAGAGAAACAGAATGAGTAATGGTAGAAAGGAATATGAAAGATTACAGAGACTGAATACATCTGCGTAAGCCACTGACAACGATTTTGAGCCATGTCACCTATTGTCTCCAGCCATTGATTCTTAGAGTCCCGAGGGCCCCAACCCGGAAGTTTGTATCTCCCTACCTGACTCAGTTTAACTGTCAGGGATTTCATGGATTGATGAGGCCATGTTTTTGTTTGGCCACCACTTACTCTTACTTACTTACATTACGTAATGCCTTTTCTAGAGCACAGCTACCAGTATCAGATTAGTTTTGTGAATTCTTTGTTAAGTACCAATACGACTGAACAGTAGGTCTTGAAAATGATTCGTCAAAAAGAAAATTTAGAAAGCAAAAGGACTGGGCGAAGAAATATCTACTTTTCAATTAGATCCTCATCTCTAGCTCTACTCTAATATAATTAGTCGGTATCAACGTGTCAAGGTGATGATTAGCGAAGAAAATTAATACACACAATTAAAAGGTAGGAGTGGTTGCAACACATGGATTGCGTAATGCATATTTTCCGAAAAAACGAAAAGTAATTAAGGAATAAGCGTGTGCCCAAGTTGATTGCGTAACAGACTGTTAAAGAAAAGAAAACAATTTGGACAATGATAACTTGTAGCTAATACTGGTGTAGTCATAAGAATAAAATAATTTGGACAGTGATATTTTTAAAAAGGTTTAGGGGGAGGTGGGCGAAGTAGTCCGGTTAATGCATTCATGAAGTGATACCCAAGGTAAGGAAAGTGGCTGTACAAACTTCTTCTGAACATACAGGTTTGCCTTCTTCAGGTGGATTCTTATTGATTCAGCTGTTTGTAGAAGACGAACTCGTAAAGCAAAATTTAGATTAGTAGGAATGCGACAAATAATTTTAAGTGGTGTATTAACGTCAATATTATGCTCACCATCTATAAGGTAGGCTAAAGTAGTGCTACGAATAGATCTTGTTTGTCCCTTGCTTAACCATGCTGCAGGATAATGATCGGAAATATGATGATGAACCTGCCTAATTGTACGCCCAATGTAGCTGGCTTCACAGCCGCTTATCCCTTAATTACTCTTTATTTTGCCAAAATTATGCATCACGCAATCCATGTGTTGCAACCACTCCTACCTTTTAATTGTGTGCATTAATTTTCTTCGTTAATTATCACCTCCCGCCTTGACACGTTGATACTGACTAATTACTGTTAACAAACATATTGCCACTTTATTGGTAAATTGTTGCGTAATATATATTAGAGTAGAGCTAGAGATGAGGATCTAATTGAAAAGTAAATATTTCTTCGCTCAATCCTTTGTAGAGCAGCAATTTGTCGATTTTAAGATTCCATTTTCTAAATTTATCATAAAGCAGTCTGCTAAAAGTGGGCCAAGAGGACCTATTTGTACTGTAGAAGCCCTCACCAGACGCATCGAAATCCGAAGCTACATACTCAAAAGAAAACTACTCCAACCTCTACATTTACCATAAATCTAGTTCTGTTTGACACCTTAGTTTTCGTTTGTTTGTTTCTCCATTTCCTTCATATAACACAACTTATTCTTGTATGTAATCTGTATTCGTACCTCACAACTTTCATATCAAGTCGAAAAATTATCACCTTTAATCTCCTTCAGCATTGTGTGGAATTAATAATAATTGAATAATAATTGTAACTATATCACGAATCAACAAAGTTAGAATTCACGAGTCATCGAATTCCGACCCAGTCGACGAGCTCGATTTCGCAATCTGATGGTTATAGGTGCAATTCCTATTGGGAGCAGTGGGCGCGCATTGCTGAAGAGTTCAAATCGCGGACGAAACGGATCTCAATTAATCCAGTGGAAGACCCTTTGAAACGAGAGAAAAATGGCTTCGAGACCCAATGGGAACATCATCACTTACTGGGATATGCAAATTCATCCAATTCCCGAATGCGCATCCTGGATTCCAAAGCTAGTCACCATCCATCAAACTACTTCTAGTGATATGTCATTCACGATCAAAAATATCGAATAATATCTACCTGTGTGATGAATTTAATATTTTCCCTATTGTTTAAATATTTTCTGTAGCATAAAATCACTCCATTCCTAAATCATTAGTCTATAATAGATAGGCTTAGACTAACTGAAGTAAATGTCGCGAAACATGTTATACATGAAACCCAAGAGTCCTAAATTCCACATGTAGATTCAGAGAGATAAAAAGCACCTCAAAGCTGAATGTTGACGGGTTAAAACATTCCCAGCATAAACTACTTGAAGTGACTTTCTCTAATAGTTAGCACGTTCTAGACAAAATTGTGTGCTTCAGTAGCTGGTCAATGGTGGAACACTCGCTAACCACCAACGTAGGCAGGTTTCGACTCCCAACAGATGTACTTCGTCTAGCCGGTGGTAAATCATGTAAAAATGGAAGATTGGGCGTGAGGCTAGCAATCCTACCCCCTGAAAACAATAGCGTCGTTAGTAAAACGTCATAGCTCAAGCATGTAGTCGTATGTTTTTTTTTGATTGCAAAAATATCCTACAGGAGGTCAATCGCGAGCCTGGATAGCTCAGTGGTAACGTCTCTGACCGCAGCACTGGGTGACGCTTGCTCGAATCTCAGAAGGGACATAAGTTCCTTCAAGGTTGCAGATACGCCTTGCTGATGAATGCCAACTAGACCGAAGCCTAGGGCAAGCAAAGCTTCCTGCTGATTGCCTCCAACCATCTAATAGTCGTATATTCTACTCGGAACTCAAAAGAATAACATCAAATAAGACTAAGTTGCATTCAAACTTCTCAGAATATTGGTCAGTTACTCAATACAAACATTTATGCATACTTGAAAACAACAGTGCACTTAATATGAATACAAATATATTTGTAATCTCTATAAAAAATAGTTCATACAAATAAATATAAGCTCATCATGATTTAATGCACACTCCGGATGGAACATCATAAACGCAGAACTTGTACGTCAATCCATCTTCCGTGATAGTATCCTTGGGTATATGAGGTAAACTGGGGAAGAAAAACCAAAACAGATCAATAATATGAAGGTAGGAGAACATACACTCAAATAGTGATTAGAGAAAACAAAAATAAATGAGCTGTAAAACCTCGATGAAGCGCAGGTATCAAACTAGTAACATGGTCTATAACAAAACACTAAATTATTATGAATCACAAAATTCATATTAAAACAGCTCTTACGGTTATTTACAAATACAGTAAAGGGCGCGTACTGAAATACACACAGGCGACAGCTATTTGTAAACTTTAGACCCTCCCTCCTTGCGTGTAGAAAAACAAGTTATTATTACTCTTATTGCCCACCTAGGTAATCTGTGTCTGATTGTATAACCAAACATATGTTCTAATTGGTTACAGGATTTCATCATAAGCTGAAATCGGTTAGAGAACCATTGGAAAACCTGCTGGGAGTGGTCGATAGTTGTTTCGCCCTAGTTTGGGACTCTTCATCAGTACGCATCCACTGGGGTTCGAACTCAAGACCTCCTGGTTACAAGACGAGCTAGCTCGTAGACCATTAAGACACTGGCACCCGATCCAATGACCAGCCCATGAATTCCATCTTCTACCAATTGACGGCATAGCGCGACGGTAAGCGAATGTCTCCGGTGAGTATTCGTCCTCACACGCGACCTGCTGTACCATACTGGTCACGACTTCGCACTAGATAATCAGTGAGATGGTCACTAGCGACTGATCCTATTCAGTTAGGTAGTTACCTGGCGTTCTGGTGGGAAGTCGTGACCAGTAGGGTATAGCAGGTCGCGTGTGACGACGAATACTCGCCGGAGACATTCGCTTGCCGTCGCGCTATGTCGTCAATTGGCAGAAGTTGGAATTCATGGACTGGTCATTGGATTGGATGCCAGTGGCTTAATGGTCTACGAGCTAGCTCGCCTTGTAACCAGAAGGTCCTGAGTTCGAACCCTAGCGGAGTGGGTGCCTACTGATGTATAGTCCCAAACTAGGGCGAAACAACTACTCAGCACTTCCAGGTTGTCCAGTGGTTATCTAACCCATGTCAGCACATGATGAAACCCTGTAACCAGTCAATCAAATCCCTACAAACCAATACTTGAATATGTGTTAATTATTCTTTTTCTTAAACCTCTGTCACTTTATTTCACTCGGCCTTTATTTTCCATATAAACTGACTTGACAAGTAAAAGTGTGTGTGATCAGATTGTGTTCGAAAATTATAAGGCCAGTACATTACAACATTTTTCAGATAACCTCCGTCCTCTAATAACGCCATCCAAATTCAGTAAAGAGACTAATTGCTTTAAATATTAAAGCCAGAGAAACACTTTCCTTCCATATATTTATTTATTTACAAGAAAAATACAAGTAGTAATAATAATAGTTGAACACCCTACCCCTAATGTTTACCTTAACCCGAACCAACACCCAAAAGCTAATACTAATCCTAACCCTAACGTGCTACCAACCCATTTTCCGAACAGTACTTAAACACGAAATCAGGAGGAAATTAGCGCATCAATTCGTGCACAGCGTTCATACTGGTGGTGCTGTAATAACTACAGGTTCTGTAATCCAACGAATGGTATGCGTTCGAGGTCCCTACTGGTGAGCTCACACTCCGTAATCGCTATTGTTTAGGCTGTTAGATTGGACGCTACTCAGTAACTAGTGTAATGTGCGTGTCTAGTCCTATCTTTGGTGCAGACTGAATTCTGTCAGTCAAGCTTACAATGTGGCCATCATGCTAGGTGGCTCGCCTTCACGGTGTACTGTGAATTGTTGGTATTAGATGATGGGAGGCAATCGGCAGGAAGCCCTGCTTGACCTAGGTTTCGGGCCAGTTGGCGCTCATCTGTCAGCAAGGAATATCTGTAACCGCGAAGGAATTCATTTCCCTTCTGAAACCGAATAGCTCAGTGGTAACGTCTTTAACTGCAGCACTTGATGACAGGTTTCGATTTCGGAGGGGATGTGAGTTCCTTTAAGATCGCAGATACGCCTTGCTGATGAGTGCCAAGTGGCACGAAATCTAGGTCAAAGGTACCTTGCTTATTGCCTCCAACTATTTAATACCAACAATTCGTTAGGTTGGCCGAAAATTACCTATTCGCGACAGTTTTATTTTTATAGCTTTGTCAAGTGTAGGTTTTGACAATACATATATAACATTAATGGCAGAACTTTGTTTACAAAAACAATTTTGTATGATATCTACCGTTACCATAGTGTTAATTTTATTATTTGATTCACAAAACTTCTTTATTCCATGTTGTTCTATTTTTGTGTGTTTTAGTTTCGTTCGCATTACGTTATCACATTCTAGCATTTTCATGCATCTTATTACATTTCAACATGTGATAAATACACACATATTCACATCTCCGAATGTACTTCAATCTTTCTATCATTTTATTGATGTTTATTGAATTTTACATCGACCTCTCTCTCTTTATTCATTCATGTCTCATCAGTTTGTGATTCAGATCAAGAATAATTAGTGTGGACAACGGTGCTTTCAATAAATTCTTCTTTTGACAACTCTACAATTAGATGTTCAAGTATTGGATTGTAGGGATTTAAATGATTGGTTACAGGATTTCATCATGAGCTGACAACGATTAGAGAACCATTGGAAAACCAACAGGGAGTACTGGATAGTTTTTTCGTCCTAGTCTGGGACTCTTCATCAGTACGCATCCACCAGGGTTCAGGATACAATCTGTCTGTCTGGATTCAACATAGAACTTGGCACCGAAGTGCAGCACTTCGAGTTGCCACGTTCCAATAGCACACAAAGGTAGACAAGAAAATGAGTGAAGAGAATCAATAGAATTTAGATAAGTATAAAAGTGAAACAGAATGAGTAAAGATAGAAAGGAATATGAAGGTTAAAGAGACTGAATACATCTGCGTAAGCCACTGACAACGATGAGTTTGAGCCATGTCACCTATTGTCTCCAGCCATTGATTCTTAGAGTCCCGAGGGCCCCAACCCGGAAGTTTGTATCTCCCTACCTGACTCAGTTTAACTGTCAGGGATTTCATGGATTGATGCCATGTTTCTGTTTGGCCATCACTTACTCTTTTCCAGCCTGCACCTATATCAGCTAGTAATGCCCGTCGGGGGAGGCGATGCTTAGGCATGCGCAGCACGTGACCTAGCCATCTGAATCTATGTAATCTCAATCTTAATCTAGGATACAATATAGCCAGTGAAGGCAAATTAGAATCATATAACAGGTGTATTGTGGGGAACGAGTGTACAGGATGGACTAATAGTCAGTTAGTTTTGATATATATGGTCAATAAGAACATGAGTTAAAATTAGATGAAATAATTCAATGATGTGTGTTTATGTATATATATATATATATATATATATATATATATATATATATATATATACATATATATATTCGACAAAAGGTACAGGTTTCAAGGATGAATGTATTTCATGGTGTGAAAGAATATGAGCTTCGCTGAGAAAAGGAAAGGTTATACGAATTGAAAAACAGTCCTGGTGTTAAGAAGCTGAACATCTTAATTAAATAAGAAACACAGAGATTAAATATAACTTATAACCAAAAGTTCTTATGATGCAAAACCTCATCATATATGTGGAAGTTATTCAAGGAAATCACCGGTGGTAAGCAAATAAATAGTGATCCTTCTTCAGTTGATGCTGCTACTCTTAATAAGTCCTTCATATTGTCATCCAGTTGATGTTATGATCTCAAATGCTACAAATGCAAATAATGACCACTTCTCTGGTTTTAACTTAAACAATGTCTTCAAGTGTCTTAAATCCCTGAAACCTACCCAGCCCCCTGATCAGATGATGTACCAGTTATTATCTTCAATAAATGTGCTGACATTTTATGTCATCCTTTCACTGGTATTTTCAATCAGTCGTTTTCCAGTAACAATGTATATTTCATGCTGAAGATTCCATATTTATATCAAAAGTACTGTTTGGAATAAAGCTATTATTACTATTATTAGAGAAAAATAAAACCAACAAATAGAACAGCCTAGACGTAAGTCCAAGGGTGACAAATAACAATAATGAAATAAATCCCCCATAAATATTGACAATTCAATTCCCTATCTCATTACACTTTTCCCATTTCCCCATTTGTTGGTTTATTTCTCTGTAGTATTCAATATTGTCTCATACGCCAATGACGAGACTCACCCTTGTAAAACCTGTACTTTTGCTAACTATATATACATACACATCAACGAATTATTTCTCATTTTATCCAGTACGTTTTCTCGATGACGATAGCAAATTGCGTGGAAGAAATAAAGAGAGGGACTCTTCATCAGTACGTACGCACTGGGATTCAAGCCTAGTGAGAAATCGTAACTCGCGAGATCTACCAAGGCTTCCCAAATAATGTAAACGACTTAGCGTAATCAACTCATTAATGTACATGCAAAACTTGGACACTGTGGCAGAATGTAATTCCATATTAGATTTTATTTTATTTTATGTATTTTTTTTATTACAGCTTGATGCCACACCGTATTTTCAGTACAAGTATGGAGTTTTCAGCCTGGATATCAGTAGCCCAAATTTTGCAGGCCGACCATAGATATCGGGTGTGCGTCGGCAGGGGATCGAACCCCGGACCATGTGCATGGTCGGCGAGAGTCCTAACTACTGTGCCACCGACGCACAATGAGTCTACTTTAAATATCACATAGTGATGCTCTATTGCGCGTCGGTGCCACAGCGGTAGAATGCTCGCCAACCACGCAGATGGCTCGAGGTTTGATCCCTGGCTGATGCACTCCTTTACCTTGCTAAGTCAGTAATAAGACTAGTAACGAGGGAAGGTTGAGCATGAGGCTAGCAACCGCATCCCGCAAAAATAAACACCACTGTTACCGAAACTTCAAAACTGTAGCTTGAAACCCTGTGTTCCACTGGGAACGTAGACGAAGAAAAAAAGATGCAGTATCAATAACCTGAAGATGTTTCGAGCATAAATTATTGCTCATAACCACATCAAATTGACCACCGACCGAACCTCAGTCCATGTGAGACGTAATTAGCAAGCATTTTACCGCCAGACCACTAATGCACAGATATATAACATAGAAATGAGTCGCCTTTGTTTGATCTCAGTCCACTAATGCATTCAGTTAAGTGAAATCCAATGATACTTACCCATCTGACATAAACACTGGTGATAGTGTGTTTATACCAATGAAAATGTAAAAGGTAAACTATAACTGTGTATACATGATATCACTTAACAAATGAATTATTGATTAAAACATTAACCTCATACATGGAAGTTAATAGCCACAGAGATTACACCGTATTTATTTGACCACCTATATTGTAATACGTTTGTTTAAATAATAAAAATAATAATAATAATCGATGGATATACATACCAGTCCAAGTGACACCCACTAGTGATATTTACTTTCATCTAACTGACTAACTAACTAAATCTCAACAGAGAAACTAGCAGAGGAGTGCAACAGTTCAAGTCGCCACACTCCATATAGCACACAAAGCCAAAAAAAGAATTCCAAAGAACTATAATGTGCAGAAATATGAGGGAGAAAGAACGATAGCATGGAAAGAAAACACGAAGGTTTAGTGGATATGGGAGGTCGCAAAGAGTGAATGTATATGCACCATTGATAACTATTTCCAGGCATATCTCCAGTAGTCTTCGGTCATTGGCAGTTAGCTTCCCGAAGACCCCAACCAGGAAGTCTACACCTTCCTACGTGGCCCAAACTAAATATGCTGAATTTTTCATACACTGATGCCAAGTTTTGGTTTGACTACCACTAGCTCTTTTCCAGCCCAATCAATCGTATGTCAGCTAACATTGCCGGTAGATGAAGGTGATGGCTAGGCGCATGCGTAACACATACCGTAACAAACCCAGTCGACTTAGCCACATAACCTCATCGATTGAATTACGCTGCTTACCTAACATTTGTCCCCCTAATCTCAGTATTACTCACCCTATTCTGCCAGCTAACACGGGAGATAGAATGTAAATCTTTGCGGTCGAATACAGTTGGCCTCTTTTATATTTTACACTTTGAATGATCATGTCTGACGGTCATAAAGGAGGATGAGGTGAACTGCTGCGCAGTACACAAAAATTTATCCTCGAACCATGAAGCTAGGATAGACAAAGTATCACTAATTACCATAAAAAATGATGAGATACATACATGTACACCGTTTCAAGTGTAGACACAGAGCAATACCTTAAGAAAATCTTATAAGTGTAACACTGATAAGGTATATTATAAAGTATTCGAATTTCTACGACTATCAGTCAACATTTCAGTTAAGTACGATGTTCAAGAACTTGGCGCATCACCAAAATCATTTCCAAGAGGCTACTGCAAACTTTCATCAACCGCTGCCCGCCTCCACCCCATACGGAAGATCATATGTATGGCCAGAAAGGATAAGCCACAAGGGACTGACTGACTGACTTTAACATAGAACTTTGCACCGATGTGCAGTTGTTCGAGTTGCCACACTCCACTTAGCACACAAAGCAAGAGAAGAAAGTAAAACGAAATGCAAAGTAGCGACACTAAACCGAGATATGAGGCAAAAAGAGGAGTAATATCGAAGAACAATATAGTTTTATTGGGTATTATAAGTCACAAGGACTGGATGCATCTGCGCCAGTGATTGCGAACGATTTCGAGCCATACCACCAATTGTCTCCAACCATTGGTGTTTCCCGCCGTCCCCAACCAGGAAGTCTACATCCTCCTACGTGGATGGATTAGACTGACTGTTGTGGATTTCATTGACTGATGAAGCCATGTTTTGGTTTGATCAACCTGACCCTATGTCAGTTAACATTGCCCGTAGAGGGAGGCGATGGCTAGGCATGCGTAACACATGTCCTATCCATCTCAGTCGATGTAATTTCACAGCCTCGTCGATTGATTTCCCCTCTTTACCTAGCACTAGACGCTTAACTTCATTATTGCTCACCCTATTATACCACTTCACACGGGAGATAGAACGCAGGCACCTATGATCAAGCCACAAGGGAACTCTGGCAACGCACCAAGTAACAACCTATCCTTGAACAAATATCCAGGAGGAAATCGAGATGGATTGAACATAGGCTGAGGAGACTGTTGAGTGATATTACACGACAGGGAGACCCTCAAGTAGAACTCGAATGGAAAGCTACACACGGTGTGTGTGTGTGTGTGTGCTTGAGGATGATACGGAGGAAATCGTGTGAAAAGGTGAGAGTTAATGGGCAGTTGTGGAGTTAGCTAAAGAGGACTGCAGAGAACAGGATGAAATGGAGATGTGGTTCATAAAACTAAAAAGTAAAAGAAAACTGACTACTTACTTAATTTCTTCAAGTTTTTTCCAGTCCAATTTGGGGAAGTAAGCATCACAATCAACTTCTTTGAGTACATGAGTACAATATATACGAACAGGATATGTAGTCTGCTTTAGAGTTTCCTGTATCGATTAATAAAAGGAAAAAATTGATAAGACTAGAAAAATATTATTCGTGTATTCATTTTGCAGAAGCAGGGGCAAAGAAACTACAATTTTACAGGCTAATAATGTCAATATAAAACCCAGCAATGAAGCATTCATCCCAACTCTCTGAGAAACTGAACAAATTTCTTCACAATGAACATTGGAAGATCAGCATTTACAAATCTAGGGGCCATACTCCTACAAAAGACTAAGTGGAGGCTGAGAAAACAGGTCAGAAATAACTCGATAGCAATCATTCATTGACAGGAGTGGATAGCTCAAATTTTTATCCATTAACAGATTATAGAAAGCGGATAGAATCACTGAGACTCCAAACACACTACATTTCTAGACATGAAGACGGTATTTGACTGCATCATTCATGGTGATCCAGAGAAAATGTAACTAGAATGCTGGTAATACTAAATAAGGCACTCTTATCGGCCTTAAGTGACTGTGTTAGAGCTTATTAGGATCTGTCATGGATATTCACTGTTACTATTTTAATTCAATTTTATCATAAATCTACTGATTGAGGTGATTCCGGTTGGTCTCGACATTTAAGAAACTGACTTGTTGGCAAAATGGATTTCTCAATGTCCTAAGCTATCTTCTGTACATTTTTCGACCTTGGTAAATGTCAGATAATCCTATTGGGGGATGGTTTGCACTAACTCCTGGTTAGAGGAAAGATAATGAAGCGACTGTCTCGGTTACCTCATTTATTGCAAAAACTGCACTAGCTCTAATGGAAGCGTCAGTGACGAAATCTTAGGACAATTACGGAAGACTGTTCTATATTTCAGACTGTGCGACACTTGGCAGAGTGGTAATATTCAGCGACCTAGTGGAAAGTGTGTTGTGCAAAACAGTCTGTTCTGTAGTACTTTAGGGCTGAGAAAGTATTGCAGTCAGTGAGACTTAGTATACTATAACATATAACAGAATACACTTTTAACTCACATCGTAAAGGCGTGATCCACCGATAATGAAAACTTCATCGACTATAGAACTTAATTCCTCGGTATACAACAATTCTACAGCTGCATTAAGACTTGGAACAACATGAACACCTGGTGGCAATCTTGGATGAATTAACCAATTATTTTTATGAAGAAATACTGTTTAAGAGTACTGGATACAACAATGTTGATTCTGTCCTTCAATGGTCTGAAGTTCTGAGGTATGGATTCCCATGTGATTCTTCCCATTACAACAGCATTTTTTAGACCTAAAATTTTTACACACTAATGAAGATTTATTTACCTGGCTTAGCTGTTGTTGTGATTTGTTTGAAAAATGCCATGTCTTTCCTGAAAAATAAATAAGAATTTAAAGGTCGAGTATTACACTACTGCGCTTAAAAATATAGCAGAAAGTTATCTCCAATAGTCTGCACAACCAAATAGCCTTGAACACAGATGCTACTCAGACAATAGGCACCTTTCACGCTACATCGGTCGGAGTAACAACGGTCCTTTATTATTAATAGTATACTATTTTTATTCCAAGAGGCAGAGAAGATAGCTGATATCCCAATAAACAACTTTGTGAAACACGCTCAATGTAAACAGAAAATTTCGAAAAGCTGTGTAGTTGACTTGATAACTGATTTTGGAATTAATATTATTATTAACAGCAATGCAGGTGAAGGGTAGAAAGCGCACAAAGATATGCGTATATTCGTTAAGATTCGTTGCAATCACTAAGATGAAACTGTAGGCTTCACTTAGTGAAGATACTACAGATTGAGACGGTCCTGTAATTCTGAAATAGGCACATTGAATAATCTATCTTCATACAGGTAACATGAAAAAAGATTAAAACCATGGCAATATTGATTTCTTACTACTATTGTTCATAGTATTTGTGTCAGTTTGCAAAGCGTGTAAAGAAGTCAATTTTACCAACAGGAAGCCAACTCTTTAATAATACTTGAACAATAATCCTTACTACGGTGAAACGATATTCTACCGCTGTCTTTTACAATGAACAATACCGATAAATTTCTGCTTTAAATATAAAACAATACTATTTGATTGTGTGATAAATAAGCTACTCACTTTAGAAACAGTTGGTCATTTTTACTAATAAGTACTTTTATTAGACTGGAGAAGGCATTCGCCTCTACAAACAAAACGAAAAAAGATAGCCAAATCAAAATGCAACCGCATACATTCGTTTCAGCTACGACACTTTGAAAAGTACAAAACGTGTTTGATTTGAAAACTACGGATAAACGTGTGATATGTAGACAATGGTGATAATAGTAAGTACATTCATGTAACTGAGTGATTTCTAGAAGAATATCTAACCAACCATTTCTCCGATAACTGCTGCAAATTCAGTTTGGGAATTGACCGAAGAATCTATGCATCAATAAATTTGTAGAGTTTCAGTGTAGGTTATAACTAAGAGCAATTACTTATTTTTCATAAAATCGTAGTTGAACACAAACCAATGGATGAGACTGTATATTTGCACTAACGTTGGTGATTAGAAAACGTGTAACACAAGCTGAGATGTCATTTCCACCAGGAAGAAAGGGGAATTAGTTGATGAATAGTTATGGCGATTAAGAGTGCCTATTTAGACTATTAATTTCGGACACGGAAAGATCGAGAGTTTGTTTTTAGTATGCCAGTTTTTCAGTTGCAAAAGAAAGGCCAAAGAATGTGAATACAAATGTCTTCCAGTCTATCTTTGCCCGCTGAGGCAGCCAAAAGGCCAGATATCATCCAGGGTACTCAACTTCGCATAGGCTATTAGACAAGTGTACGTGATATTGAAATATAGATGATAATCATGAATTTCATGGAAAAAAAGATATATAGATATTTGGCCAGTATACACAAGAAGGTAGCAAGAATGTATGAAACCTTCAACATGCACCAGGATATCGCAACTGTGAACACTAAAATCCTGAAAGCACCACGAAAATGAAGGAAAGATTGTGATCTCCGAATAGTTTAGTTCTAAGTAAAACTACAGAAGCTAAAGTTCAGTCCAAATACTGCTAAACAGTCGAGCACTTTGGCAGAAAAAAATATTACCTAGATGTTACTATTGTACAACTAACAATTTGGTAATTTTGGGGCATTAAACAAGGGATTCCAAGATGACGGTATTTTTTTCATGTCATTGTGGTTTCGCCCACAGTAATACGTGATATATGGTTATTGTTGTTGGACTATTTAATGAACTTTATCATGTGTATACAGTCCTGCAGACAGGCATCAAAGAAGTATTACAAACCAAATCCACATAAAGAATGGGCAGTTTTCTTACTTCAACTTCCAGGGTAAACCTCCACATTTGCCTATACCCCAGTTTTCTGACACTGCAACTACAATATTGAGGCGCATGGTTTACTGAGCAAGGCCTATGCGTGGTAGGACACACGGCTTTTTGGAGAGGCTGAGCACTTCAAGGTCACTTGTGCACATTTTGATTGGTAGATATTCAGATTCAGATTCAGTTGATAAGGATAGAAGGCTCTTGTGGCCTGTGTTAATCCCTGCAAAATATATCTCTGCAGAGATCTAACTTCTCTTTGAAAGCGTTCACCGATGGAGCTGTTACTACCGAATCAGGTAAGGAGTTCCAGTCGTTGACCTCTCTTTGAGAGAATCTAAATTCTGCACGTATTTTAATCGTCCTCGGTTTGAGCACCTTTTTGCAGTGACCCCGTAAATGTATCCTAGAAAGAGAGAAAAGTTTAGAAAGGTCAGTTCCTAAATCACCCTTAAGTATACGGTATGCTAAAATTAAGTCGCCTCTCTTCCTTCGGTATGATAACAGGAAGAGATTTAAATGCTCCATCCTCTTATAATAAGGAAGGTGTGAGATACCACTAACTAATTTCGTTCCTACTCTCTGTACTCTTTCCAGGATATATGCCTCCTTTTTGAAGCATGGACCCGCCGCTTGTACGCAGTATTCTAGATGAGGCCTGACATATGCTGCGTAGAGTATTTGGAACATGCCCTCATCTAATCGTTTGAAAGCCCTACGGAGTGCCCATAGCATTCGAAAAGCCTTAGCTGCGGCTGCATTGCAATTTGCAGTTGTTTTCAAATCATTGCTGACAATGATTCCTAGGTCCTTCTGTTCGTTAACATCAGGTAGTTCTGTGTCCCCTAGGGAGTACGACGTATAAGACTTCTGACCTAAGTGCATTACTGCGCTTTTCCTAGAATTCATTTCCAAACTCCACAGGTTCGACCACTCAGCTAATTTATCTAGATCAGTTTGTAGGGCCGACCTATCCTCGTTATTATTTACAGTTTTCCATATCTTAATGTCGTCTGCAAATAACAATGAAGATGAAGTGAGAATCCCTGGTAACTCATTAACATATAATAGGAATAGCAAGGGGCCTAATACAGTTCCCTGAAGCAGTCCACTGCATACTGCTTTCCACCCTGATAGTACACCGTTAACTCTAACCTTCTGCCTTCTATCCATTAGGTAATCCCTAAACCACTCACATACGCGTTGGTCTAGTCCGAAACCTTTAAGTTTACTAAGGAGACCTAAGTGGGATACTTTGTCGAATGCCTTGCTAAGATCAATAAAAACCACATCCAACAGAAGGTTTTTATCTCTGGCCTCGACCCAATCTTCCCTAGCTAACAGTAAGTTTGTCAAGCAGGATCGTCCTGGTCGGAATCCATGCTGTTCAGCTGCCAGTAGGCCATGTGTTTCAACATAAGCTAATAGCTGATCCCTTATAATAGTTTCCATTACCTTTGCTATAATGCATGTCAAACTTACCGGCCTGTAGTTAGATACCAATTGCCTGTCCCCCTCTTTGAATATAGGGCTCACAATGTCATCCTTCCAATCCCTGGGTAGCTTAGCCTGGGTCAGTGACATTTGGAAAATCTCCGCAAGCGGAATATATATTATATCCGCCAAGGAAATTAACAGTTTAGGGTGAAGTCCATCAGGCCCAGGTGATTTACCTGGCTTCAGTTTAGACAGTAGTTTGAGGACTTTTGTGTGCTCTACCACAATTGAGGGCATCTGAGTGGCGATGGCAGTGACCTCGCCATATTCCTGGGTGGTAGTATCAGACGAGAAGACGTCACAGAAGTATTCAGAGAGGTTTTCAGCCTTTCCTTCGTCTGACTCAGCCGTTTCTCCACTAATGCTTATGAGTGACGGTATACCATTGCTAGTTTTAGTCCTACGTTTAATATACGAGAAGAGCCTTTTTGGGTAGTGAACACTATCTAGTACAAGCCGTCTCTCATATTCTATACGACTCTTGTTAATCGCATACTTACAGAGAATTCGAATTTTGCGGTAGTCTTTCTGGAAACTTTCCCTTCCTGTCATAATAAATTGGTCCCATAAGTTCTTTCGCCGTCTTAACAGCCTCCTTATTTCACTAGTAATCCAAGGTGTCTTGTGCGATAGTTCTCGAGGAGTGTACCAAGGTATAAAAGGTGAAGTGACACAATCTAGTGTATTTCTAAATCCTACCCAAGCTTCCTCGACAGTCCTACTTGTATCTACTGACCAGTCAACTGCGGTTGCTGCGTTCCGGATTCCTTGTATATCCGCTTTCCAAATGTTTGGACGAGCAGATTTTGACCTGTGTATGAGAGAATGAATCTTAAACGTAAAAGCAATGACTATGTGGTCACTGCTGCCAAGCGGCGGAAGGCACCTAATGTCACTAACGTCCTCCTTCTGGTGTGTTAATACTAAGTCTAGAGTAGATGGATCATGTTCCGTGTGATACCGTGTTGGTGCATGCATATGTTGCACGAGTGCACATTCAAGCACTGTCAATGTGAACTCCCTATTGAAACAGGTATACAAACCAGTGGAGTTTAATCCCCCCCAGTTAATGTGTGGAGCATTAAAGTCGCCAACAACCAGACACCTATTTCTACTACCCCACGCCCTCAAGTGATTTAGAACGAAGTCATCAGCTTGGCTAGCAGGACTTCTGTAAATAACTCCGATCGTTAAGGTGCCTTTGCTCAGATTAATAACGCAACTTGCAGCCTCACTGGTGCCGGTGTCATGAGCTTCTGACAACGTTGACCTAATCCCTATGTCATCGCGGATGTATAGAGCAACCCCGCCACCTTTCCGACTACTTACTCTATCTGCTCGAATGCAGATGTACCCAGGTATGAGTGGAGTTAAGTCTACACCCACTAACAACCGTGTCTCAGTGATAGCAATCCCATCAGGTTGTAATCTTTCAGATAACTCTCCTAATTCGGAGAGCTTATTCCTAAGACTACACGCGTTCGTATAGCACACCGAGACACCTACGTGTTAATCCGGCTTCTGAAGAGAGGTCTCGGCAGCATAAACGTTGCGGTGAATATGCATTGGGCGTTACTGAGGCGGAGTTTGACAATATAGACATGTAGAGGATAGAAGTACAAATCAATGACTCCTGCAGATGTGAAGTGTCATAGTGTTGTTATGTTTAGGCTATCCTACGTTGCTTTTAGTGTGTTTTTTCAACAGAAACGCATTCTTCCATTATAAGTCAATTTTGTTTTGATAAAGTCTCACAGTATTATACAGTAATGTTTACTGATGACGTTTCAAGCACAATTTATTGCTCATAATCATATCAAGGTAATCACACGACTTCCTAAATTCATTTTATAGTTCCGTTGTTTTTCACTTGATTTGATTGGTAGTAGTATTTTCCATATTTCGGGTATGAGCGACGAATCATTCCTATTGCATGTGTTGGGTGTAGATTCGATGAACAAGGATTCAGTAATCAACCTCTCTCCACCTACCTAGATTACTTTTTAGAATTTTAACCCTCTCCCACCCTATCGTGTGGTTGTGTGTTAATGCATACAGTGCAATTGCTGAGCTTTTTTCTAAATTACTCATCTTCTTGCGGTCAACCACTCTTACCTTAGCTAAATTCTTATGTTCTGACAATCTGACTACCCCTGACCTACTAGTTTGACCTATGTAGTTGCCTTAACTCACTGTCATTGCAAAGTATTTTGTAAATTATACTATTTTGTCTAAATGGGTCAACTGGGTCCTTTAACCTACAGAGCTTGTCCCTGAGTGAGTTTGTAGGTTTAAATGCCACCCTAATTCCTGCTTTATTTAGAATCCTACGTAGGGTCTCAGATTTCCCCTCTTTATATGGTATAACAGTGGATGACTTATATTCTCTCTTATTTATGTTATTATTACTGTATAACACTGTGAGACTTTATCAAAACAAAATCTACCCATAATGGAATTACAATCTACCACAGTGCACAGGTTTTATCCTTATACCAGGAAGCGCATTCTAAATACCGTATTTCAACGAAAAGACATGTAAAAATTGAGAAAATTGGTCGTTTTGAGTGTGCTGACAAATTGTTGTCTTTTCATTGAATTGACATCCTCAGGTGCATACAGAAAGTCAGAATTCACTACAAATGATCAATTATGATACGAAATAATGAATAGTTCACACTATATGCACACATGCCTGCCACTGCGTGATCTTTGAAAAGGGAGCGAATTTTACACTATCTTGCTCTATTTTGGCTTTTGTTGTGTTTTACGCTCCGAAAGTCTATAGATTAGCTTTAAATAACTTTATTCTTGTCATAATTAGTTTACATTTTAGTTTTGAGTCTATTTACTCATATATAGTGTATTCTATTAACTTTGTAGTTATTATATATCCATTTTTCACACTCGTTTGTTTTTATCACTAATTTAAATAGAAGTTGTTCCTAAGGTCATATTTGAATCTTCTAGCTCTAATTCACTCTGAAAAGGATTACTATCAAGTTATGTGTCAGTTCCCAGTTGAAGAAGGCATTCAGTGTGACAGCTACAAGAGATTGTTTCACAGCATGCTCACGCACTTAATTCTTGCAGCGCACAAGCACTGCTGCATATCTCTGGCGAACTGGCTGTGCAATGACTGCTGTAGTACGACTAAGTTTCGTATAACTGAAGCCACTGCCACTCCCACTGGGGCTCTACAGCTCCTGAACTGCAAAGGTCCTCCACCACATGAGAAGGGCGATTACCGCTCATACACCGATGACGTTGCCAGAGTTATTAACAAGATAAAACAGGTACATGACGCTCTTCAGCACATAAGAGCATCCACCATAGTCCTGACAAGCATGCTGCACCTCCACACTGCATAAGCCCTCCAGTGATAGCAAACGAAAGACTGGCACGTAGAAGAGGCGTATCAGGGGCCGAAAACCAGCAGCTCAGGTCGCCCAGGAACTTGTAGATCGCGCATCATCCACACAGGTGGATAGCAGGTAGACATAATCGACAACAGGCAGTGATAAAGGCGCCAATGAATGGCGTAATTTAGTCTCCCGCAAAAAGCGAGATAGCGACACCATAAAGGCCACACTGTCCATGAAGGAAGAAAAGACACTTACAGCGCTATAAAAGAAAGCCACCACAAGC